GACCTGCAGGCCTCCGTGGGTTAAAACATCCTGATATTGTTCAAATGTAAACACTGTGCTCCATCCCTGTTTGAACTCAGAAGATGCTTATTGATGCCACAGAGATGTGATTTAGTTTGTTTCTTTATTTTACTCCAGAATAAGAGATTACATTTTTACAAAAGCCGTTCAATGTAGTTAAATTAGCCAATCAAAAGATTCTAACATGCTGCAGTGTGTGTGTGTTTCACATTTGGGACTGCATGAGACAGCATGGTTTCATCAAATCCATTCATCTTATTTCTTGGCTGAAGTAATGGCTCAGGAAAATAACGTATATTTCATAAATAATGACGTCTCTGCAGTGTTTATAATATTTTATCTTATATCGTACCTATCTTTGTCATCACGAGTGAACGTGAAATCAATCACCATGAAGAACAAACAGATCACCACTTTGGATTCCCTTTTATTCTTAAAATTTTATGTACAACTGTGACTGATTTTTTTAATGTACATTCAATATAGAAAGTTTATATATGCAATATTACATTGAACATTTCACAAATTGCACTAGTTTTTCACATAGATTCAAAATCAAAGTCATTCTTCGTGTCAGAAGACGCTCCTTTCCTTCAGTTATTTTATTCATTTAATATTCTGACTTATAAATAATCTAGTGCTTTTTGCATTCTGGGGAAAGAATTACTTAAAACGATTTAGGCAGCGAATAAGACGATCTTTCACAGAGTGAGCAGAGCCGGTGGGAGGAATGAAAGGCTGAAATGTTAGAGCAGGTTTGTGCGACAAAACCAGAACAACCAGCTTCAGTCAGAGGGAAGGAATGAGACACGTTAGGGATTCATTTTCTCATTTCTTTTGTTTTCATGATGGAATTCTTGAACACAGACATGGAAATGTTTATCTAAGAGATCAGCAATGTCAAGTGCACAAACTAGGCCCAATCTCCTCAGACCAGGTGTTTTAGTCAGGATATGAATGGAGAGGAGACAACAGCTTCCATCACAAGTCTTGGTCTTCTCTTTTCTTTCTCATGACGGAAAAAAATTCTAGAGAAAAAATATATTCATACAAAAAGTAAACCTTTTTCTGTCAAAAAAACAAAAACAAAGAAAAAGCACAAAAACATGGTCATCTGTTAAAAGAAAGCATCAATGAAGACTTGAGTGTCATTTCTAAGCAGAGGAAAGAAGAGTGATGCTGCAGGTGGTGTTGTGGAGAATTTGGTGACAGTCTGGGATGGACTGCTCTCACTGGTCGTCCCCCCGCCTCTCTTCTGGGGAGCAGATCAGTCCTTCTCCGAGCTGTGGCGGTGAAACTGCAGGGCAGTCTGGGAGCTGTAGCGGGACTGTGTGAGGGGTGTCCTTCAGCCTTGATCTCCGACGTTGTTGTCCACAGGGGGTGGGACGCTGGACAATACTGTGGTTCCAGTTCCTGCTGTGAGGTAACCCGCAACTCCTGGACCTGCAGGCCAAACAGAGACACGTGAGACAGAGGCCAGACGGGTGGAACGCTAGGAAACAAGGCTGTTGAGGACCTTTTGGGTTAAAAATCTGTTGAATTTTCAGAAAGCACGAGAAAGCATCACCCCAAACCAAGACAAAAAAATTACTAAATTAATCAAAATAAACACAAAAAATAATCCAGACACGGAATTTTTCTGTTAAGATTTTGCTTTGCGTTAGCGGTAAACACTAAATTCCCACGACTGGGATGTAAACGAGAGTTTCAGGTGGTTATGATCTGCTCGGCACGGTGAGATGAAGAGGGAGAAATGGAAAATGGAATGAAGGACGTAAAGAAGGAGGGACTAGGAGTCAGGTGAGAGTCTACCTGCATCAGAGCAAGAGAGAGAAGGGCTGTGAGGCCCCGGCTCTGGAGTCTAGAGCCCGCCTCGCAGAGGGCTGCTGGCAGCCAGGAGAGACGGAGTGGAAACCCCTGAGGAGGAAATGGAGAGGGCAAGGAGGAAGGGAAGCGCAGAGCCAGGAAGTTAAAGACAGAGAAGGACAGCCGAGGGTTTTATGAGCAAAGCGTTAGGATTCAGCTCTCAGCCACACTCGTGATGTTTTGGTTAGTTACCCGTCAGGTAGCCTGCAGTCTGGGACTCTGAGATGAAAAGGTCATGTTTCTGGTCTTTGAAGGCACTCCAGACTGAAGACTTTGCAAGAATTTCGTTTACCTGCAAAAGAGAGAAAAGAAAAAGTTTTCTAATCAGTAACAGACGTTGTTTTGTTTTGTTGCTGCGATGACACGAGGTCGTTTATCCAGACCTGCTCTCCATACTGGAGACTGCGAGTCATGGACTTGAGAGCTTTTACGATCTGAGCCTTGGTAGCTGAAGGGTTTTCCAACGTCTCCAGGCCGATTCCTTCCAGTAGCCTCAGCAGGTATGGGACCAGCTCCACCCTCAGAGCCTGTGGATCAGGTACTAGATGTGTTATTGAAGGGAAAGTCCAACAAAATGGAAGCATAACCCAAACCTGACAGATTTACCTGAGCCACTAGCTCCGTTTGTTCCTTCTGGAACATTCGGTTGAGAGCCTCACACGCCAGTCCGGCCATGTCGGCGCGGACTCTCATCCCAGCCATCAGAGGGCCGATCGTCTCCAAAGACGCCATGGAACGCACGCACAGCTGCAAGTCAGGTTCAAAATGAGTGTCTGGCCAAAGCTGCACAGCAAACATGGTTTTTATGGCCTCACCTCGTTCTCCGACAGGACGTGGATCAGGCGGATGGAGCTCTTGGGCACGGTGTTGTTCTTGTGGTTGAGCGCTGCCAGGACGCGGGGCAGGTGACCCAGAGGAGGAACCTGATCCGCCAGGTGGCTGTGAGTGCTGAACAGGCAAACTGCTGCCGTGGTGATGGTCTCCAGAGCCTCACCCTGTAGAAGGCCACGTAGCAGATACATGAGTAAACAAACTCAGAAAAACAAGAATGATTTGTGTCGCTGAGGCTCACGTTGGGGTTATTTTTCTCCAGCAGCTCACTCAAAGTCTCCAAGAGGGAAACCAGGAATTCCCGAGGTTTTCGCAGCACCCAGCCAGGCTGGGCGATGAAGATTCGTAGGAAAACTCCACCGACCTCGAGCTCGCCCTGCCCAGATCCATACTCCACTGTGAAGTCCTCTGGCAGCTGCACAGAGACACGCAAGGTCATTGTAACGCAGAGCAACACTAAACACCGACAATAAACTACAGTGATGTCACACGTACCTTCCAGCTGACGTCAGGATTATCCTTCTGCTGCTTAAAGTGCCTAAATAATAAAACAAACACGTTTTAATCACCTCCTGCTCTCAACAGCTGGTTAAACCGTCTCAGCTTGTGTGACTCACTCCAGCATCATCTCTCTGACGGTGGTGGACACTTTCTCCCTGGAGGTGTCGTTCCAGATGAGCTCAGGGTTCTCGTGCGTTCCCTCAAAGATCTGCACTGCAGCCTCAGCGTTATCTCGCATGGCGTCCATGAATACGCCCGGGAGGAAACGCATCAGAGTCAAACGCACCTAAGTGAGTCAGAAATCAAAGACGAGGGTCATTTAGTGAAGGTGTGACGCTCTCAGAGGCTTCGAGGACGCGCATCCAGGCTGACCTTCGGTCCAACCAGCTTGTCGGAGGTCATCTTGGAGAACAGCTCAGCGGTCTGTGTGCGGACCTGGGGGTGTGTGCAGTTACAAAACAAGTCCAGCAAATAGATCAGAGCACCTGGGGGACAGAGAGATCTCATCAAGTTCATGACAGGTGTGAATGTTTCAGGAGCTGAAAGAACGACTGACCTTTGGCCATCGCCTCTTTAACGATCTTTGTGTTAGAAGTCAGTGCGTGGAGGGTTTCCAGCACAATCTGCCTGCCTAGAGAAAACAAAAGATCGTCTAAATCACAGCTCAGAGGCGTCAGCTCAGATACTTTTGGATTTTCTTACTGGAGGGAAGTGAATGGAGCAGCAACAAGAGGTTGGACAACACCAGGGAATCGGCAATGTTGCTCACACATTCCTGGTTGGACGTCACCGTGTTGACGACCTGAGAGAGAAACAAGTGGGATTATAATCCAGGAACACCAGTATTCACAGCTGAGATTTAGTCATCCTTACCTCCAGAACCAGCTGCTGCACTCTGCCGGCTCCGTGAACACGCAGCAGGGAGAAGAGCAGCTTAAAGTGGCCGATGCACTCCGACTCCGAGCCTGGAGTTAAACCAAAAGTCTGATTAGAAAATAAAAACGAGGAAGTTTAAATAAAACGAGGTGTCCATCAACGTGGCGCCTCACCCGGGTTGTTCTTGATCACGTTACGGAGAGCTTCTAAAGCCATCTCAGCAAAGTTGAGCCTCTCGGCGTGCTGCTGGGACTCCACCTTGTTGCTGTGACTCATGGCCAGCAGAGTGTGGAGGTACTGAGCCTGGGAGCCGACGTAGTCCAGCAGACTAGCAGCGAACGCTTTGGGGAACTGAACAGAGACATCACGGTCACCACATTTATAGACAAAACGGATAAAGAGCAGGTCTGTGGAGCTCACCTCCAGAGGGAAGGAAGGCTGCTCGTTGTAAACTCGGACAAAAATCTCCCCGACTATCAGCTCTTTGCCGTGATCATCAAACACAAAATTTGCTCCAAAGCTTTTATCGTTTTCACCCTGAGGAGAAACGACAGGAGGTGAAAAGCCGAACACGAGCGGTTTTCAAAACAGCACCGGGTCTTTGTTCTCACTCTCTTGATGTTTCCTTCCTGCTGACCCTCCAGGAACTCCAGCAGCTCGGCTCGAGTCGCGTTGTTCCAGATCAGGTACGGATTCTCGGAGTTGCTGTTCAGCAGCTTCAGGACCTGAACGCAACACCAAACAGGTCAAGCTGCGTTTGCATTTTACAGAACATGCAGACGTCTGATCAGCTGACCTCAGCGGGAGATCCCAATCCCAGCTTCCTGGAGATGTACGGCGTTAGCATCGCGGCTAAACTCTTGCGTACAGTTGGGTTTTCTGGAGGGGTGCCGTCCATGCCGTTGGTCTGGGGCGCATCGGGGGTGCCCGGCATTGGAGCGTAGCCTCCCAGGCGGCTGACAGCCACCAGGCTGAGTTTGGCGAGGCTGTTGGCGACCTCCTGCTGGTTGGTGTCCTGGCTGGCCTGCACGCCGCTCTCCTCCAGCGTGTAGTCGTAGTTGAACAGGTGGACCAACAGGTGCCAAAGCACACCGGCGTGGAACAGATGGGTCTGCAGGAAGAAGTCCACCGCAAAGGAGCTAACGCACTGAACTGCCAGAGCCGCCGTCTTCGGGAGACCCTGGGAGGAGAGGAGTGTGAGAAAATGAGTCACAGCTGTGCACAAACACTTGACCAAACTAAAATCACGACTGTGCCGACAGACAAGAAGATCCCCACCTTTCCGTAGTACAGGATGTGACAGAGGTCTCGGATGATGTTGGGAAGCTCAATGATCTTTTCCCTGCATTCCTCAAACTGAGCCGCTACGCTGTAGCACCTACAGATGTGCCCGCACACCTGGAATGAAGAAAAGTGAAGAAAGTGTTGCCAACAAGAAACGCAAACGTAAGGTCATAGCGGGAGTATTTGTACCTGTACAGCCATGTCTTCAGGCCGGCTGGATGCAGTTAATACAGCCACACACCGAGAAAGAGCCTCCAGTAAGATCTAAAACAAGTTTTTTCACTTGTTAACTCACATCTTCATTCTTTTAAAATATTTCAGGGCTGGTTCGACGGTGCGTACCTCGATGCCGCTCTCACGGCGCAGCTCCTCAGCGTTAAGGGCCGAGCAGTTGACCGTGTGGAACGCCAGCTCGGCGGCAGCCGGGAGGAGAGGCGAGGCTTTAGAGAACAGCTGCTCATCGTCGGTCTCCATCTTGATGGTTTTGATCAGCATGGGGTAACCGGCGTATTTGTACGGCTCCAGTTCTGTGGAAACGTCATAGGAAAGCTCACGATTGGCTGAATATGCGACGCCAGGAGTAGATTCTTTAAACCCACCTTGTTTGTGTCGATTGAAAAGGATGCTTTGGGCTTTGAGAATGAGGATGATGTTTTCCGGGTCCGGACCGTCCACGATTCGGGCCGATTTAGTGCAAAGGAACTCATAAGCTTTGTTGACTTTCTCAAACATGTCCTGAAAGACATCAGAAAGCAAATTAAAGAACACTCTAACCCTAAACAAGCGCTTCCTGCAGCAACGGGTCAAATACGCACCCTGCCCTCTGGGTTTTTGTCAGGATGATACTTCTGAGCCAGTCTGAAGTAAGCCTTCCTGATTTTACTTTCCTCGTGCCTGAAGTCATTAAAAAGAAGCACTCAGTGGCAGCAGCACTTCCAGTCTGGAGGTTAAACAGCAGCTTCTTTACTCACTGGCCCTGTCCTTTCGGGAGGTTCAGGACTTCGTAAGCGTCGTCCACAGACATGGACGGTGGCTTCTTCTCCACCTCCTTCTTCCAGGCTTCAAGAGTGTCTTTCAGCAGCTTCACCTGTGAGAGAAAAACCTCCCATCAGGAAAACTGTTCGAGAAATCAAAGGTGTAGCAGAAAAAGGTCAAGAAAACCCTACAGCATCTCGAATGGGCCAGTTGGGGAAGTGGATGGTGTCACACAGGTGTCTGAGGTAGTAGATGTTGCAGAAGAGCTCGTTATCCAGCTGAGGGAAGCTGATGACGGGGATAGGACAGTACTGGTACAGCGCTCGCGTGTTGCTCTGCAGTCTGGGGCTGAAGTCAGCTATATGAGCTGCTATCTTCTCTATCATCATCCGCCTGAAACAGTTTAAGCAGGAACGTTTTTAGCTTCAAAAGCATTGTGATGTTACAGAACTGAGGCCACTTCACACCTCATCTCACTGCTCCAAATGGCCTCAGGCGTGTCAAATTCACCAAGGAAGATCTCAGAGAAGCCCTCAGCCTCGTAGTTCTCCAGATAACAAACCATGGCTTCAGGCAACACGGGTCCCAGAATGCTGCGCTGCACAATGTCCTGCCCCTTGGACTGGAGACACAACAGATAGTTATCTCTTTGGACTCAGAAGGCTTTTATTTGTTCGGAGTGGGTTTGAAATGAGCTTCACCTCCTCCGATTTGAAGGCTTGTTTTAAGTGAGTGTACTTCAGGAACCTGAGGAGAACACAAAAATATTAAGTGTTACATCAGGTATGATGTGTCCAGGCTGGTCAGATAGAAAAACATCAAGGAACAGAAATGGAGCTGGAAATGTTTGTAAAACAAAACAGAAAAAAAATAAATAAATAAAAAAAAAATAACGTTATTATTTGAAGATTGAAAATTATGTATTTGTAAGAAAAAGGTCAAGCTTACCAATAAAAGAAACTAATTTACTGGAATTAAATTGTAATTTCTTAAGTTTTAATTTCATGAATTTACTAAAAAACAAATAAAAACAAAAAGTCTTAAATTTGCCAGAATGTTTGATGCGACTGTTGCATCGAGTAAGGATTTCCGGAAATTATCGATAAGGTTGAATTTAGGGTTGTCACGGTAACCGGTATGGCGGTAAACCCCGGTAAAAAAGTTGACAATAAAAATAACCGTCCAGTTTTTAAAAAACTAAATTATCTCGGTGGGTTTACCGTGGCCGCGGTTTCGGCGCGGTGACCCTTACCAGCCACCGTCGCTTCAGCTGAAGTTCCCGCGGCGCGCACACGCACTTTTTAGTTTGCAACGGCACCAAAACTTTGAAGCTGAAATAATGGCAGCGCCCAGGACATCCATCAGCCCTCAAAGAAGACTAAATCGGAAGTATGGGCATATTTTGGATTTCTGAAAAATGCTGAGGGACAGTTAATAGAAGACTGCTATCCCGTTTGCAGAACGTGCAGGAAACAAGTGTCTGCAAAAGGCAGCAACACTTCGAATCTCATGGCACATCTGCGTGACCATCACCCACGTCTCTACAGCCAGTGCAAGGTAGGATAACATTAGTATTTTAGCTTAAATGCATGACGTGAGGACTTTTGGTTGAGGGAGAATGCAACGAGTCACTATATACTGCAGCCGCAGCGCCCTCTGCCAGCATTTAAACCGTGTCACGGACACCCTGTTGCTGGATGAAGCATCTTATTTGTTGATGGTGAAGAGAAATATACAGTAAGTTCCTTGTCATTGATTTGTTTACTTATTCAATGCCATTTATACTTGGACATTTGGATTTGATTACATAGTGTAGTAGTTATTTTAGTAATTTGTTTAAAGTGGATATTTATTTTAAATACATATTTTTTTAAGGTTGACCTGTACAGCGCTCAAGTCAAGCGTGGACTGGAGTTTTAGATTTTCATTTTGATAATGAAGAAAACAAGTAAATGAGAAAACAAGTGGTGTTTCTTTGATTTGTTTACATATTGTTTATGTTTTGAATGTTTGGATTTGTATAATTTAAACCTGCACTGACTACTGTAACATGTTCCAGAAAAAAAAGCTATTTGTTCCTTTACTTGTGAAAAGTTGCACTTTTGCTAAGGCTTTGTGTTATTTTAGGTTTAATAAACACTGTTAAACCTTTTCAGAACTATTTCAGTTTGTGTAGAACAGGACTATCAATGCTTTCTGAACATATGCAACACCGTTTAAAAAATACCGCGATAATACCGAAAACCGTGATAATTTTGGTCACAATAACCGTGAGGTTAAATTTTCATACCGTGACAACCCTAGTTGAATTCAGGGGAATTTTTTTTAAAACAAAAGAAAAAGAGTTGCTTTTTGATGTTTAAAATATCAGGAAGATAAATCATGAGATTAAAAATGGTTTAATCCTTCAACAAGTTTCTGGTGGAGTCACAATCTATTGCTTCTCATTTTAGCTCCAACAATCCAGAAGAAGCATGCTTTTACTTTGTTGAACAAAGTATTTTTATTAACCTTCACCAACTATAATAAATTAGCACATGCTTTTACTTTGAAAGGGTTTCTTAACTCTCCCACTGTCTTTACGGGAGACCCCGCGAGGAAAGTTGACCACTGAGCAGGATTGACGTGGCAGGGGTGAGGTGGTGCTCCCTCCTCACCCCTGCCACGTGGGCCCAAGGGATAAACCATCAACCCTGCTCAATGGTACACTTTCCTCGCGGGGTCACACCCATTAGGACAGTGGGAGGGTTAAATGTCTAAATTCACCCTTTGCAGTTTACAGAGTATCCAGATGTCCTCGTGAATTTATGACTTTAATCCAAGATAATTTTTTGTTTAGTTCTGTTTATTTTAGGTCTTTTACTCTCAAAGTTTTCACCGTCTTCTTACAAACTAGTGAATATCAGAAAAAAAAGGGGAAAAGGGAACAAGTCTATGTATGCATATGTGTATATATAACTTGATGCTTCTTTCTGTGTAACTTGTTTTCTCTCTTTTTATCAATTCATGGGTTGATGATGTTGTGTCAGCCAACCAGTCCAGAGACTATATTGTTCAAATTTTTTAAGAATCATGATTGTTTCATTTGTATTAATGTTATTTTAGTTAGAAGGGGCAGATAACATACGCTTTTCTTCTTTCTGTCCCCTTTTTCATTTTGGCTTTTGGCAATTTAGTTGTGTTTTTATTTTGATGTCAATAAGTGAAAATAAAGTTAAAAATAAATAAATAAAAAATCCAAGATTTTCCACGATTCTTATATCTCCACATCTGAACTTCCTCCCGTTATTTTATCATCTAGATCAGCTCTAATCCACGTCTGAGACCAAATATTTTAAAAGCCTTCATTATGTCACGCCATCACAAAAAGGTGAAACTGATGTTAATGACATAAATGCCCGTGTCAGCGCTCAACAGGTACCTCGCTACAGGAAGCACATTGGAGCCGGTGTACATCATGATGAAGAAGAAGACTCCTGTCAGATAGAGGCGCTGCAGATTGGGGTTGTCCTGCATCACCAGGAACAAAAGGTTGGCAACTTTTTCCACCAGGATGGGGTCAAAGGTTAACAGCAGCTGGAGGAAATGCAGAAAAACAAGGGAAACTATTAAATCCCCCATCATTCTACCCAGAAAACCACTGGAGTACAACAGACTTACCTGAACGATGTGTGGGAGGCAGGCATTATCGCTGATCATCCTCTTGATCTTAGGTAGAGGTCGGATGATGGCATTGTCCTGGTCCCTGGGTGTAAATAAAGAGCTGTAAGTATGAGTCACACGAGAAAAACAACAAAAATAGCAGCCGTGGCGTCCACCTGCTGGGGTAGTAGGAGCACATGGTGATGAGCATGTTGAGGATCATCGTGGCCAGATCCGATTCGTTCATCACCGACTGTCCCGTTGCCAGCAGGCACCACTTCAGCTGAGGGATGGCCTGCAGGGGGCGCCACCCATCCATCCCTTGAGCCCAGCAGCGCGTTTTAGCATTCAGGACACCCGTGTTCCAAAACTCCTGCATCTGGAGAGGAGAAAACAAACAGGAACACTCCAGATTATGACTAAAAATATCTCCTCAGATTACCATCTGTACTGGACTATATAAGCTCAGACATGATCAGATGTTGTTGAAGACACTTCTTCACACCTTTAGGTGGTTTTACAAAAACAAAACCAACAATAAATCAAGAAAGTGTAGCAAACCTCCTCAAAACTAAACGGTCCTCGTCTTTCTTTGTCCGCATTCCCAAAGTACCACTCCTTCTCCCCCTCCCTCTTCATGTCCGGGGACGCCTCCAGCACGTTGCTCTGCAGAAAAACACAAAGCAGTGTAGGTCGTCTGTCCCGTTAAAGACCCGAGATATAAGATGTTCTCATTTTCTGGATTATTGAATACTACTGATTGTGTTTGATTTGTAACAAGCTGTAGTTAATACCTGAAGTGGAACAGTAGCTCTGCTGGTGTGCAGATGGGCCAAAGTGAGCAAGTCGACCATGATACGAACTCCGTTTGAATCCATTACTTCCTTCACATTTTTCTGCACAAATAAAAAACTAAAGAGTAAAAAATGTGGTCTAGATAACAACATTATGCACGTTTCCTTCATTTTAGAGCATACCTTATGAAGAATGAGCTTGTTGAGGAACAGGATGAGTCTGTCCCGCTCCAGCTTGTCTGTACACTGTAACATAGGTTAGATTTTACGGATCTAAACAAACGCGTGTGCATTGACAGCGTGCCTGCACGTACCCGATCCAGCATGCCCACAACGTATTTTGTGTCTGTGAAGGGACCGATCTCCTCATAGCACTTGCTGTAAACGATGGCGAGCGCTTGCAGGCACAGGCACTTCATCGAGACTTTGGGTGTGAGCAGAAAGCGGTGGTAGAGCTCGTTGAAGAACTCGTATCTACGAGCACAGAGAAGAAGAAGAAGTCTGTTTTGGATCTGGTGCAGAACAAAAACGCCGGCGTAGCTTCGCTGTAATCTTACGATCTCTTGATGGCGCTGGATTCTGTGTTCTCATCCTCCTCCAGCAGCAGGCGCAGGTAATAATCTCCTATTTTTATCTCATCGGAAAGGCACTCGTATTTCACCTGCAGCAAGAAAACACACTAAATCTTTATGTTTCTGTGGGCTTCCAGTGATTGTGAAGATTATTGTATGTTCTGAGGACAAACCTCAAATTCCTGATGGTTCCAGGAGATGACGGTGGCGTTCCCGAGCTCACGGTCCACACTGAAAGCACGCATCTCCCCCTCCAGGGCATCCCGCAGCTCCTCCCTAGTTTTAAGGTTCCAGATGAGGTTGGAGCGTGCATGGTCCAGCTGAAATCTGCAAAAGGAGAGTAGTGAAGCAAAATGAATGTTTTAGGACTAAAAGTTCAGGTTTGTGCTCATTTCATTTGTCATCAAAACAGCCAAATGTCCTCCTGAACCTTCTACCTGTAATAGAAAAGCTCCCAGTTGGATTCGATCTTAATCCTCTGCCTTCTCTTTCTCAGGATGACGGGCTTTTGGTTTGGATTCTGAAATCAAACACAAACCCTCGAGCTGGTTAAAGTTTTGTTACCATCCTTCTTTGTTCCCAGATTAGGACATGAAGAGGAGATGTGAAGTTAAAACGATGACAACATGAGCGACGTAAAGAAAGGGCAAACAGATGGCTTCATTAGAAAACATGAACACAAAACCCAAAAACTTTTCTGGACAGGAAAAATACAAAAACGGAACAACACCCCAAAAATGTTGCAGACAAGATAGAAATCAAAATACTTTAAATGCCTTTAACTGTCTTGCTGCTCCTCAACTATTATTTACGCTTCCAGGTCAAAAGCATCAACACTAGTACATAGATCTCTGCTTACAGTAGACGCCCCAGACTGAACACGGTCATTTATTCACTAACAGGTTGCATCAGGAACTTACAAATATCCAGTTTGGTTACTGATGCTTCCTGGAATCAACCTCGGATTTGAATAATATGTAAAACCAGCTCTTTGAGGATGTTAAATCATGATTATAAAGAAAGAAAAAGAAAAAAAAAACACCCAAGATGTGACGTGAAGATTGAAAATAGTTTGTTGGGGGGGAAAGAAATGAGAAAAAGGAGGAATCCCACCAGTTAGTCCTACTTACCAAGTTGTTTCTGTCCTGCTGCATTGTTTGACAGCAGAGAGAGCAGACAGGAGAAGGGGAGAGTGGAGCAGAGACAGAGACATTACTGTTCCTCATCTATCACAACAAGGGTCACAGATCACTAACGTGGGAATAAACATGTACACTACTACATTAAAGTCCTTTACAATAAAACAGGTTGATATCTTTACCATAATTAGCTAACAAAAACGCAGTTTGTGATTGGAACAAGCAAACAAAAATGATTGAGGAACATTCAAGAAAGCAAAGCAAATCACAACAAGTGAAGGTATTGAAAAGAAAAGCAGGACGGACAGAGAACATTCACGTGGAATTAAGATTTTAGATCAGATTTTTAAGGATAAAAGAATAAAGTTGCAGAAACGGCAAACAGTGAGCCAAAGCTTTATGAAAAAACTCAAACCACTAATTTTTTCTGCAAAAAATGATCAAAAATATAAATATAAATAGACCCCCCCCCCCCCACACACACACACACACACAAAAAGACAAAGCGGAACTTTAAAATCGAAACACTTTGCTGCAGTTTGCACTTGCACACAAAGGGCTGCAGAGAGAAATCCAAGTAGAAACATATTGCAAAAGCAAAATCAAGTGAAACTCTCAGTCGGTGTCAGAGCAGACAATGATTTCCATGCAGAAAAATCCCAACAACAGCTGGAGCTGCAACAGTCACACCTGAGCAGACAAACCCAGCAGAAGCAGCCATTTGTTGGCTTAAAGATCAAGTTAATCAGATCTAGCATGAAAAAATAAGTCCTCACCTCCTTCTGAGCAATGCCCATCTTATCCCTCCAGTGCATCAGCACCAGATCAGCCTTCTCCTTGGCAAACTTCTCCACCTCTTTGGCTGCTTTACCTGCGATCCGCTGCCACTCAGGCACCTTGTTGCGATTCAGCTGGTCCTGCAGGACGCAACAGCAAAGACACAAAGTCAAGTTTCACGATGCTACTCTGCAGAAACGCACAGATGTTTGCTCGAGTACCGAAGCGATTTTCAGGTTGTCACGGATGTGCATCCTGTCCACATCTCTTTCTGGGACAGGATCGGAACTGTCCAAGTACGCCAACAAACCTGTTGGCTGCAAGCATGAAGGAAAACAAGACATTAGAATAAGAAAGAGACTTAACTTAAAATAAACACATCAGTGTCACTTCTTTCAAGAGCTTTTAGAGAATCATCAGATAACTTTCAGCTGACAGAAACTCACCAGGATCCTTTTTAGGAGGTTGGTGGCCACAGGGTTCTCTGCTGTCCACAGTCCCACCAGGTGACGACTCAGTTGTCTGATACAAAAACAGCACAAGTGAGCTACCGAGTTGATGCATGTCCTCTGTTCCCATCAAAGAGCCATTATTACCCGTTTCCCACAGTAAAGAAAACACTGGGAGCCACAGCAGCCACGGCATGGCCTACCCTCAGACAGCAGAGAGCTGATTTAACCAATCACAACAGGTGACAGCAGCCGGTACCGGTCGCTCGTGTACGTCAAAGTTATCTTTCATAAGACAATAATCAATAAAACGATTTATATAACGTGGATCCAGAAGTTGTAGCCCGTCTCTGCCTACAATATTTTGATATTTTTCACCCTGTTGGTGGTTTTACTGAGCAGGTGCCACTTTTGTCATACGTTTCTTTTTAAAACATCTTTAGACTGTTCAGAATACAAATCCAGGCTCTGTCACGTTTGATAGTTGTAATTAAACTTTGTAGGTGGGGAAGGTCAGAAAAGGATCCGATCATTTTGTTTTTCCCTCATTTACAGTGACGGATATATGGCACTGGTGTTAATCAAGTTAAATTTTATCTCTTTGCAACAATTTTCACAAGAAAACAGAACAGTTAAAAGCAGGGCTTGGGTTGACCGGACAGTTCCCGTATTTGACCGTTTATTTTGACGGAGAAAGAATAGAAAGAATTACCCCGACGCATGCAGACGAACTGACACTTTATTCTACGCACATCGCAGATGTAGCTAAATCACTCAAGAAAAGATTCCCATCTGAACATCTGAGCTGGACACCGCTCAGCGTGCTCTACATAAGGTCCACAGCGAGCTGAAGATGTGGAGAGGGGCTTGGAGCACGTCGCAGAACCATGCGGGAAGATTCCTCCGGCTGAAGCGAGACGTGTCACTTAGAAAATGTTCCCTGATTATGAAACTTTGGCTGAATAGCACTTGTTCCTGTCTCCAATGTGGCGACGAATCCAGGAGCTGTCTGAGGAGAATCCCAGAATCTCACATCCTCTTCAGCTCAGAAAGCGCCTATATGATTACGCACAAGCGTGTCTCACAGTAAGACCGGGTTGGAACTGTTCAGGCTTACGCAGACAATCTTTACATTTAGAATTGGCATACAGATGTAAAATTAATGCAGTAAAATATAAAGCTTTTTATTTAAATATCCATTCATTATTTTACAAGCACAGAGAGCTGCATCAGATGGATGGAAGAGCCGCATGCGGCTCCAGAGCCGTGGGTTGCCGACCCCCGGGTTATATACATGTACAATCAGTAGCTCACTGTTTGTAACGGGCATTATAAACAGTTCACGGTAGAGAGTTTGACTCCATCAGCCTACCGCTACACATGTAGATGAATGTTGTCAAGCTGCATCTACTTTAGATGAAAGCATGGCAGCTGGAGCTGCAGACGTGGAGCGGGTGGAGGAGGAAGGTGCTTGTAGAGACGAGGCTCAAGGGGGTTTAAGGAGTTGAGCAGAAAAACATCCTCTAAAAACTTCTGTCTGCACTTTTTGGATTCGCCTTCGATTTAGTCTGAACGGCTTTCCATCCAGTTTTAGTTGCTTGTCATCTATTAAAATGGTTGACTCCACTCTAACTCAGCGCTGCCCATGAGCAAAGCTGATCTGAGCACGGTTCAACAAAAGGGAGAGAAAAAGGATAAACCTCCAACCTTATTTTAATATTGTAGACAAAAACCACAGCAGAGCATCGTTTTACCTGCAGGTATTCACCACTGAAGCAACACTCAACTTCTATGAGCAAACGATAATAAAACAAAATGAATCAGGAAGAAATTATATTTCTGCTTTTGCATTTTTCACTTTAAATAATTTTGTGCTCTCATCACATTTAACTTATATTTTATTTAGAACCTCTTCATCTTTATTCATTTTATCAGAATTTTTCTGTTACATGTTTTGAAAAAAGATCATAGAACAAAAAATGCTTGAAAGGTTTTGCTTTTTTAAAATAAGATTTGCGCATACAAATGTTCTTTCTTACGTCTACTCCAATGTACAACGCCAGGCCAAAAATAAGGTCGCCACCAAAAAAATAAGTAGTAGGGCTGATTGTAGCCACAGCCACCAGCGTGTGCCCGTAGCCACTAATGTCTGTGACTGCTATCCCGTATACGAGAACAGCCAATGGCTTTAGCTGCGAGTTGCTGTGACAGCACCCACTGCCCGGACGCCGGACTCCTTTACGTTGTGGTTTTGCGATAGGTCAATGCTCAACTGAGAAACATTGTTTTGGTAATTTCTAAGTAGTTAGAAACTTTATTCATATTTTATGTTTAACGAATGTCTTTGGTGTACTTTGAACTCGTGCTCGATCATATTATGCTAACGTGGCTGCACGTAGCACAGTAGCTGTGGTCCTAGCAGTCGACTGCTATGCTCATGGCACATTGGCTGTACCTGTAGCACAGTGGCTAACTTTCACCATTAAACATTGCCCTGAGGTCTACTGTTTTTCTTCCATTTGATTTGACCAGATGTGTAAGCGAACATGGTAATTCAGGACATTTTTCCAGCCACATTTGTTCCTCCCCACTATTCGTTTCCAGTTTGGACAGTTCAGTTTTAGTTGTTTCTGCAATTTCCTTAGATGTTTTCTCTGCTTGATGCAAATGATCTGACCATTCTCACACAGACCAACATCTTTTCCACGACCACCAGATGTGTCTTTCCACATGGTTTAAGAAATAAGAAGCAGATCATTGCACCAGTTGTGGTTAAATGACTTGTTACCAGCTGATGTAGTAATTATCCAATCGGAGGCTCAGCCCTATTTGCTTAATGAAATCCAGGTGGCGACTTTGTTTTCTGACCAGGTAGGTAGTGTATTTGCTGTGAGAATGCTCCAGAAGATATAAACAGAAGAAATTAATGTATCATCGTAAATATTACAGCACAGATTGTATCGTAATATAGCTTTCAGGACACATTACCCTTCCCTACTAAGTGTGACTGAAACAAATGATCTCAAAACATCAATGAAGGTTCTTAAGCTGCTAGTGTGCATCGCAGGGCATCAATTTCACATTGCAGGATTTCTGAACAGGTTTTGATCGTTGTAAATGGAGATAGTTGTCACACACACACACACACACACACACACACACACACACACACACACACACACACACACACACACACACACACACACACACACACACACACACACACACACACACACACACACACACACACACACACACACACACACACACACACACACACACACCTCAAACATTTTGTATTTTGTTTCTGAGAGTCAGAATGCAACTGTAGGAGGAAACAAATTTAATTAGGACACTGTGTGACTCAACTAAAAAAGAATTTGCACAATGATCTGACTGCTTTGTAATTATGTTTTATGCACCAATCAACCAAAAACTGGTTGCAAAAGAGTCATGTGACATGGTGCTGGCTTAATGTGATGCCATCTGAAAAGCTGCAGTTTCCACAACTCCTCGTATAGTCGAAGCATAGTTACGTCCGAAAGCACAGCAACAACTCATTAACCCATTCACTGCCGATGATGACTAAAGTCGTCATTTGCATTTTTTTACTGTGTGGGTGTCGGAACGAGCCCCCACACCGTGAGAACAAACATCTCAGCTCTAAAGCTGATCTCCACAGACGTCACGTGATCAGGAAGCAGACAATCCACGTGTTAGGAGATCGTTTTGGGCCGCTGCTGTAAAAAGAAGTGAGGCGTGAACAAGAAAAGCTTCTGCTGATCAGAATTCGACAACGGCTTATGAAAGATTGAATTAAGCTCGAAACTCGTGGATTCTTCCTGATGTAAGAGGTGGGTCTACTCTTTGTTTTGTAGTTTTGGCGTTTACATCATCATAGAGCGCACAACGTTCTTTGACTCTTAAAAAAAAAAGGAAAAACACTGAAAACGTCGGCAGCGAAAGGCTTTTTCTGATCAGGAAACGGCTGGCAGTGAATGAGTTAACGGTCTAAAAGTACTGAGCCTGGTACCTGTTGGTGAGCATCCGCTGGTCGGCACTGATGGTGAACAGAGATGTGTGGAGATGTCTCGGCAGAGCCCCCTCACTTAAAGCCAGCTCCTGCATCTTAGTGGCTATTTCCTTTTCTCCTTCCTGAATTTAAACAAAGATCCATTCATTTCCATCAAAAATCAAGAGCTTTAACCCTCCCACTGTCCTAATGGGTGTGACCCCGCGAGGAAAGTTGATTATTGGGCAGGGTTGATGGTTTATCCCTTGGGTCCACGTGGCAGGGGTGAGGAGTGAGCACCAACTCACCCCTGCCATGTGGACCTTTAAGGATAAACCATCAATCCTGCTCAATGGCCAACTTTCCTCGCAGGGTCACCCATAACGACAGTGGGAAGGTTAAGAAATGAGATCCCAGTCAGACACTAACCTCAATGATGGCTTTCATCACCAGACCTGCTCCCTTCACTATTGCCATAGAGGGATGCTAAAGGCAGGAAGAATCAAATCGATAGTAATCTGTGGTTTGTAATCGTGACTGTCCATCTCTTTACTCCTAACCAGGGGTGTAACGGTTCACGGGGGTTGTTCGGTTCACTTGCGTACCGTTTCGGTTTATTTGTTTCATTAAATAATGAATTTTTCACACACTTGCGTGATTTAAGTGCAGCAGATAAAAGACCATTGGCGAGTTTCTGCACGGCATCTCCAATAGACAGCGCCAGTCCACGGGCATCTACGTAGATATGTCTGTGGCGCAAATACTTTGTGAAATAATTAAAGACACCATTTAGATTAGCAGCCTGTGATGACACCCGGTTCTGCTCACTATAGAAGATGCGTCAGATATTAAATAAATAAACATATTATCATAATTGACAGGAAATTAATCAAACAGAGCCCTTCAAAACACTGAACCGAACTGAATACGAGTTTAGCGTACCGTTACACCCCTACTCCTAACCTTCTTACCTGGAACAGTTTAAATAATGTCCGCCCATTGGCGGCGACCATCTCCAGCAGCATGTCAAACTGCTGCCCATCAGTGGTCTCGCTGTAGGGCGCGCAGAGAGCAAACGTTAAGAAGTCCAACAAGGAGCTGATGACCAAAGCTCCCGTTCCATGATCCTGGGAAGCAATCAGATTAAATAAAAACCGTCAGAAAAATAATAAAACTACTTCTTCAAAACAAAGTTGAGCTTGTTTTACTTTCCAACAGAAACAAAAAGTGAGATTTACCACATTGGTGATGAATTTTTCAAGAAGGTTTTCCAGAAACTTCTTGGAAGACAGAAGAGAGGCTTTGTTCAGTTGCTCCTGTCGGAGGTCATAATCATCGTGCATCGGCTGGAGGTGAAGAAGAGGGAATCATCTCAGTCCAAGAACAGATACCAGTAGGAGATGATTTAGGTGATACTTACACACATAAGGGCACACAGTGTGTCTATAGCAGCGTGAGTCACACCGTTGTTGTTCCTTTTTAAAGCTTTGACCGTTTTTACTCCCAATTTTTCCCTAAACCTAAAACACAAATGAATACTAATTAAACATGAAGAAAACCTTGCTCTAGCATCAACAAAGACAACAAAAGACTAACGTAAAAAGGAGGTCTGGGGTTGGAAACACAAATTATCCACTGCTTCAAAAGTAACTTGATGTTTCTTTTATTTCAAAAGTGTTTAAGTTGATTCTGTAAGAGAAACAGCAAGCTGCACGTGCAATGAATCCTTCGGGAACAAACAATTTTGACTCTTTAACTTCACAAACTACAAGGAGTAAAGAGTAAATAACAGATCCTCTCATACATCTCAGTGACCCCGAAGGCCTGAAGACGAAATGAAAAGATAAAACGTTTAGAGTCGAGCCTAAACTGAGGCAGACAGTTAAAGTGAAGCGACGTAACCTCGGCTCAGAGATGAAACAGCACAAAGATGAAAGAGGTGAAGATGAAAAGCAGACGGACAGAGGGCAGACTGAGATGTATGGATTAATATTTACGTTGCATCTATGAGTCCAGACCCATGACCAGACCTTGGAATGACAGAGCATGCCTGTTACCAGCAGCTCGGGTAAACTACACCTTATTAAGAGAAATAAAAGAGTTATGACATGTTTTATGTACTTAGGCAGCTGGGTGAAGGCCTGGAAGCCAGCCTTGGAGGCCACCAAGCGCCGAATGGCCTGAAAATGGCTTTCCAGCTCAGAGTTTGAAGATGGCAGCTCGCCTTCTTGTGATAACAGAGACAGGATGGCGTTGTTGATGAGCTTCTCTTTGTTTTCTGAGAAAAGGCCCTACATTTTAACAAATTAAATAAGAAGACATGAGAATTTACTCGTGCTCAAACTGGTCAGATGGATTTTTCTAAAGACGCCAAACACACTCACATCTTGGGTTACAGCGTGTAACACTCCGCTGTAGGATATGTTGGCGTTGAATCGGAACACCGCGTCAGCAAAGTTTCCACCTGCATGAAGCAGAAAACACAACCCAAGAGATTAGCACCTGGACTGTAGGAATCTTTATGAATCATCTGCTTCATTTCTGCTCATCTCTCCACACAGAAACCAAGTGGATTTCTATTCATTCATGATTCTAATACAGTACCAGCATACTCAACGGGGAAGTCACACAATGCAACGCTGCGAGTCATAGATTAACCTCTACAGAGGCCAAACTTCAACATCACTGAGGAAGTGGGGAATTATTTCTGACAGAAGAAAACAAGAAAGGGCCAACATCCAAACATGGGCTCTAGATTGTGCTTCAGGAAAGACAGGACTATGAAAGCTGGTTTCTCACCAAGTTGTAATCAGCTGGAGACAAAAATGCAACAAAACATGCAATGGTTCACTTGGAATGATATCGAATCAGTAAGTATGTTTATACATGACCAGGTCACGCCGGGAGTATGACACAGCTGCATGCAAACTGGAGAGTCACAAAGTGTTCCAATTATGTGTCCATTTAATTGCAACTAATCCTAGTTTTCCTGGCTATTCATTACCAACAAACTCCTGACACCTGCAAAGATTCTTTGGCTGTTTTCAAAAGCTCTGAGACCTATCCACCCATTTTTGGCTGCTTATCCGGAGTCTGATCGCGGGGGAAGCAGCCTAAACATGCAGACCCAGACCTCTCCCCAGCCGCCTGGGCCAGCTCCTCCAGAGGAATCCTAAAGTATTCCCTAGCCAGCTGTGAGATATAGTCCCTCCAGCATGTCCTGGGTCTTCCTTTAGGTCTCCCAGTTGGACGTGCCCAGAAAACCTCACCAGGGAGGCATCCAGGAGGCAACCTAACTAGATGCCCGAGCCACCTCAACTGGCTTCACTCGATGTGGAGGAGCAGCGGGTCTACTCCAAGCCCCTCCAGGATGACCGAGCTTCTCACCCCATCTCTAAGGGAGAGCCTAGCCACCCTGTGGAGAAAACTCATTTTGGCCGCTTGTAATCGCAATCTCATTCTTCTGGTCACTACCCAAAGCTTGTGACCATAGGTGAGGGCAGGAGCGTAGATCAACCGGTAAATTGAGAGCCGTTTCTTCCGGCTCAGCTCTCTCTTCACCACAACAGATCGGTACAGCACCTGAATCACTGCAGACGCAGCACCAATCCGCCTGTCGATCTCACGTTCCATCTTTTCGTCACTCGTGAACAAGACCCCGGGATACTTAAACTCCTCCACTTGAGGCAAGACCTCACCTTTGACTAGGGATGGGTACCGAATTCGGTACTTTTTAAGGTACCGACCGAATTCCATAGTACCGACTGAGCACCGATTCACGTCATTTCAAACGGTGCCTTGTTTCGGTACCCGTCCATCATAACAAGAACTTGCCAAGACAGCTGCGCATGCGCAAGAGCGTTATGTCATCGCTCGCTGCGAACCAGTTGTAAACAGAGTAGCATGGTAGAAAGAATGCACGCTAAAGCTTGGGTCCACTTCACTAAATGTGATGGGAAACTGGGTGATGAAACCAGCGACAACGATCTAAGTGAGACATCCTCATCTTAATCTGCTCCGGTAGGTAATTATAATTAGCTTGATATGTTGGCTTCCGTTTCGCTAATGGTGCGTTCGCTTTCTCCTCGGAACTCCGAATTCCCGACTAGAAGAACATGAACGCGCTCTAAAGTTTGGCTTCACTTTACTAAATGTGACAGGTGATTGGGTGAAGACGAAACCAGTGACAACGATCTAAGTGTGAGGCATCATCGTTTTAATCTGCTCCAGCAGCTAAATAAACTGTTTAAGATAACGTTAGCTTGATATGTTAGCTTCCATTGCTACCATTGTTATCAGCTAATGGTGCGTTCGCTTTCTCCTCGGAAATTCTAACTTCCCAGTAGGAAAAATCAAATGAAAAAAGACGAAGATACACAGTAAATTTAGTTCACAGTAAAGATGTTTGCTTCAGTTTAATTATCAGCTTATAAAACTACAAGGACGATGTTAAAATACAAACAGTTGTATGTTATTTATCGTGATATATATCAAATATGGTTATATATTGAGAAAAAAATATATTTAATTATTAAAGAGAATTAAAATAATAAACACTCAAAAGTATCGAAAATTGGTACCGTTAAGTACCGGTATCGATTCGTAGGTACCGGGAATTAGTACCGGATCGATTCAAATGTCAAAGGTACCCATCCCTACCTTTGACCTACCCTTTTCCAACTCAAGAACATGGTCTCGACTTTAGAGGAGCTGATACTCATTCCAGCTGCTTCACACTCAGCTGTGAAGCTCTCCAGTGAGAGCCGGAGATCACGGTCTGATGATGTCAACAGAATCACATCATCTGTAAAAAGCAGAGTCTCAATCCTTAAGCCACCAAAACGGATCCCCTCAACCTCGGCTGTGCCAACAAATCCAGTCCATAAAAGTTATGAACAGAATCAGTGATAAAGGGCAGCCTTGGTGGAGTCCAACTCTCACCGGAAACGAGCTTGTCTTACTGCCGGAAATGCGGACCAAGCTCTGACACCGGTCACAGAGGGACCCAACAGCCCGTATCAGAGGGCCTGGTACCCCACACTCCTGAGTACCCCCCAAAAGGCCTCCTGAGGGAAGCGGTCGAACGCCTTCTCAAAATCTACAAAAAACATGTAGATTATGTCACAGGAGACTCCGCCAAATGTTCCCAGCAGACCCTCACAATATGTTTGGGCAGGCCAGGTCTGACCGGCATCCTCCCCCTACATCGAAGCCAACTCACCAGTGGTCAGTTGACAGCTCTGCCCCTCTCTTCGCCCGAGTGTCCAAGACATGCGGTCACAGATCAGATGAAACAACTGCAAAGTTTATCATCGAGCTGCGGCCTAAGGCAGCGTTTGTCAACCCTGGTCCTAAAGGTGCACTGTCCTGCATGTTTTCCATGTTGGCCTTTTAAACACCAGTGTTTTCCTGCTGCCACACACCTGACTTAAATGAATGGATGATTAACAGGTATCTGCAGCACTTGAGATCCTCCTGAAGAGACAATGTAAATCAGGTGTGATGAAGCAGAGGCAAGGAAAACATTCAAGTCAGTGTGCCCTGAGGATCAGGGTTGGAAAACTCTGGCCTAAGGTATCCTGGTGTCAAGAGCACATATGGACACTTATGTCTGAACATGGTGTTCATTATGGACAATCCATGACGAACACACAAGTCCAATAACAAAACACAGCTTGATTTCAGCGGGGCTGTTCCTCCCCACCACACCACTCCAGGCCTCACTGTCTTTTCCCAGGTGAGCGTTACAGTCCCCCAGCAGAACGAAGGAGTCACCGGAAAGAGCGCTCTCCAGCACCTCCTCCAAGGACTCCTAAAAGCGTGGGTAGTCTGCACTGTAGTTTGGTGCATAAGCACAGACAAGCATCAGGACCTTTCCCCCCACACATAGACAGAGGGAGGCTACCCTCTCGTTTGAGATGGAGGGCAACCAGTATGCCCGCTCCTGCTCGGCACCTCTCAGTGGGAGCAACTCCAGAGTGGTAGAAAGTCCAACCCCTCTCAAGGAAACTGCTTAGGGAACCAGAGCCATGCGTCGAGGTGAGTCAGATTATATCTAGTCAGAACCTCTCGTAACCTCTGGGACCCTCATTAGGAAACTCAAGAACCTCTAAAAATGGATTATGCCATTTTGGAAACTCCCCCGCTTTAGATGGTTCAAGCTCTGATCAAAAATATCAAGGTGGTCAGACCAGATACTGACTTTAAAGTAAAGTCGTTAACACTTGATGCTATTGCTTTCCAACTGGTTTCCGAGGTTATTGAGACAGAAGCTTGAGTAGCTTCACATGGGACTCGGCTCTGTAGCCCTTGTGGCTTGTTTAGTATCAGATGGCATTGTTGCAGAAGGGTTGTTTACATTTGTAGTTCCACTTTCAACCAGCAGGAGGGAGAAGCGGGAAACTTATTAAGTGTTGGTTTAAGTCCAGTACAGCAGTTCAGACTCACTTTTTGCCTTACAGGCTGCATTTCTTTCTATTCATTCAACAAAATAAAAAGTGACCTTTGCTTAGTGATGCACATGAGTAGAATTTGATCAGATGAAAGGCTGCAACTCACTGGGAGGTGCTGCCAGGAATCTGAGATGCAAACTCTCCACCTCCTCGTCAACGGGCATGCTCAGTAAACCCCACCGCTGCCCTCTCTGCGTGGAGGCCATCTTTACGCACACATCCCTGTTACCTGAAGCTCGGACTCCATCGAGCAGACTGGCCAACAGAGAGTCCCTGCAGACATGCAGATAAATAAATTCAGCCAAACCCATCACGGATGACTTGCGTTAAAGGAAGAGGACGATGTGTAACTAACAGAATTAAAAATACAAAGCTAATTTTTTACACAAGTAAACCTATCTGGTATACATTGTAAATGACAGAGCTAGTGCAAAGAAAGAAAGATGAATGCTTGTGTACCTTTCAGTAGATGAGTACTTCCTGATCTGGCCTCGGATGAATTCCACTGTAAACACCTGAGGGTTGTCTACATCACAGATGAGAGCAAACACCTGAAAGCAGATGAGATGAAGGTAAACAACAACTAAAGCACAGATTGGATCTGTTCATTCAAACACAACCAGAGTAGAGTGTCTGACACCACTGTGACTTTATATTAGAACTCCAACTCACCTCTCCGAAGGGTTTGATTGTGACGATGTTGTACGAAGCTGGATCTCTCTCCACCAGACATGTTTCTGTTAAGGCAAAAATTCGTTTTACTGGCTCCTGGAAAAGAACACACCAGGACCAAGATGTTAATCATGATTAAAAACACAGAACACACAACTACTAAAGGTAAAACGGCCGATTCCAAAGATGTGTGCTTGTGCTGAAACGGCAAACACACAATTAGGTCACATCTAAACCTTTCAAAGCACAAAAGTACCTTCTTAGGCATCAAATGTTGTTGAGTATCCTGAATATTTAACTAATAAGTAAAAAAAAACTGAAACATTACAAAAACAATGTTGCACAGCACATTGGATTGTGTTAGCATTAGCTTATTGTTAGCCCTAGCTACAGCCGGCTGTGGCAGGGCTGTTTATGACTGTTGTAATTCTGCTTTCAACCAGTAGGAGGGAGAAGCTGGAAACTTATTTGAGTTGAGCTTTTAATTCCTAAACACTGACCTATCAAGGGTACACAACGTAGTTATCAAAATGTGTTTGGAACATCTAACTGAACTTCATGTCTAAAACTGGAAAAAATCCAAACATGAATTGAATTAAATTGTTGCACCAAATATAAAAAATAACTGGATGGAAGAAGAACGAAGCGGAGCAGGTTCTGACCGGGTGTCGAGTCGTGATCTTCTGCACCACGAACTCAGCCAGAGAAGTGATGCTATCGTCGGAGCTGTACTTCCCCAGGCGATCCGTTACAAAACCCTCAAATGACAGCGCCTCCTTCCTCAAACGTAGCGTGATGCCGATGAAGTTTCCAGCGTGCTCTATAGCGCTGCGGATGATGTCATCTCGATTCTCAGAGGCAAACAGGTGCTTTAAAGTAAAAATGAAGAAAATGTTTTCATTTTGTAACGTACGGGTGAATAAATGCAGAATCCATGCAAACGTACCAGCCTGCTGAAGCCACCGTAGAGGATGCTAAATCCTCCCTGGTAATCAGAGACCTCCACAAAGCCCTCGATATTCCGGTAGTCATAGGAACACACCACTCTGTTGGTGTGGGGGTCAATTTGGTCAATGCCACCAGGCGTTACCTCTAAGCTCACGGGCTTCCGTGTGTCACTCCAGTGATGCTTGTAGCAGTTGTAACGCTGTGACACACGATACACACGATACACACATTAGAACACTTGAGCATAGAAAAGATTTTATTTATCTAATTAAGGAAACAATCTGGTCTTCAGTTGGTCTATAAATTAACAAAACGTTGGCAAGTATTTAAAAAAAATGAATTTATAAGAAACTTAATTTATTTAATTTCAATTATTTAATTTGAAGCCCTTGAAAAGACCAGACCAGTTTAAGTCCTAAAAAGATGATTTTTGACTGCATACATTACACCGATATACAACATTAAAGCAATTTTCTTCAATTTTATGACATCAGTACTTACCCTACCAGTTATCTTTCCCTCTGAAAACTCTGTTCTGAATCTCTGTAAATAAATCACAAAAACATAAAACCATGAAAGATCGGTCGGCTCGTTCATCATTTCTATGCAATCATCAGAACGGATTTCAGAGCTACATCTAGATCTATAAACAAATAAACTGACCTAATTTTCTCAGAACAACAAATTATCTAAATAAATGAAACAGATTTGAATAATAAGTGACCACAGCAAACACCACAGATATGGGACCATAAAATAGTGTAAAAATAAACATCTGAAATCATTTAAAATCGTGCACTTAAGGTGAATGTTGCTGCCAGAGGTGCAGCTACGGGGAGTTTCATTCCTGACCAGTGCTTCTGTGAGCAGCTCTGTCCGGTGCTCTGTAGAGAACTTCAGTGTTTCGGACTTCTTGCCGCTGCCTTTGCGGAATGTGAGGCTGAATTCTGTCCCCTGACCTCTTCCTACGGGGCCGATACCACAGATGTCTCCATAAGGCCACTGGAAACAGAAACAATCACACGTGAGTAAAAGGTTTTAGAAGTTAAGGTCGTCCATATCTACAAACCAATAACTGTTATAATTCTTTGTATTTGTTGTTATGTTCTAATAGCTTAAAGCTAATTTTTAGCATGCACTAAGTAACGTTCTAAACCCCTTAAGGTGATATTTCAGTTATTCAGAAGTGTGTTTGTGTGTTAAAGTTATAAATAATCACCATTGTCTACAGTAAACGGTTCCCTGAACAGTTTCCGTTCAGAGAAACGAGACAGATGAACTAAAGGCTGATGAAGAAGCAGTGAAGACATAAGTGTGCCCCCACTCCAGAAGGTTCTTTACATGGATCTATGTGTTATTTACTAGTGCAAACGTCACCAGCAAATTCCAAAAATCAAGTCCAGCAAGTATTTCAGCCAAAATAAAAGTCTAAAATGAAACTAACAGCTGTGTGGGGACTTCTGAAATGGTGTTAGAAGGAAGTGCTGTAAAATCTAGGAGACTGGAGCTATTTTACAACATAAGAAATTATGATTTTTAGAAATAAACACTTTTTTAAGGCCAATTAACACTTTTTAAGGCTAAGGAGTAGGCTTGGGCATCGAGCAGCGACTGGAACCGGTTCCAACTGTTAGTTTTTCCCGGAATCGTTCAAAGGTTTTTTTTTTCTTCGATTCCTAGTTTAGATTCCTAGAATGCCGACGGAAGAGGAATCCGCGGCCGATCTCCGTGAAAAATAAACAAGATCTGCAAATTGTGATCAACACTTTTTAGAGCTGATCACACCAGCTGTCTGTGTGCAGCACAGAGTCCCCGCTCCCTCTCCATCCGGTGCGCAGCGGCCAAATATAAACAAACGCGTCTGCCAGACTTTTACTCCGTAATGTAAACTTTAACTTCTGCAGCGAAAAATGCGCTGTAGAGGAAACTTGTTAATATACGTCAACACGGTGGATTTCATAGAAGCTTTAAAGAACAAACTCTAGACGGTGTGAGGTGAGTTTGCCTCACTGCAGAAATAAAAACACACACGGAGCATCAGCAGTCAGACGCAGCCACTCACCAACACTCGTGTGTGTTTGTGTGCGCGCGCGTGAGTGTCAGAAGGCTGAACCTGTAGAATAGTTAGTCATCATGCTAGAGAAGCTTCTCTGTGGTGGACCACAGCAACTTCTGCCACAATAAATAATAATAATTATAATAAATAACATTTTTTATTTCCTTTTGAACCATTTCTGTTGAGTTTTAATGTTTAAAATCTGTTAGATTGTTACTGACAGCAGCTACGTTTAAGTTTCACTTTCTGTTCTGACTGAATGCTGCTGCAGGTAAGAAAACAGCTGGACGTTTCTGGACATGTTGGAGACATTTAGCCTCTCATCCCAGAGGCTTCTTCCAGACTTTGGTTGTGGTCAGAAACAAACACACTTGGTGGTGCTGCAAGTCTTTTTCTGTTTTTCTCCAAAACGTGTTTTTGTCTAAATGAAAGTGATGCTGTTGTTCATAAAATTAAAATTCATGTTGAAGTTAAGATTATTTCATCAACTAGGACCTGTGGTTAGCTGGCTCATTTAAAACATGGAATGTCTCGAAAGAATCAGAAATCGATAGGAACCGGAATCGAAATGAGGAATTGGAATCGGAATCGTTCAAAATCAAACGATGCCCAACCCTACATGAGGCACTAAGGCTAAGGAGGTGTATCAGAGCTTCTTGTGGGGAATGTTTTGTACAAACTGACCTGATTTGTTACTTCTAGTGTGGTAGGGTTGTAAGTGGTAATGCCATGTGTCCCCACTGAGAAGACTCGCTTGTATCTGCAACACAAAGACGGGATGAGTCAGAAACACAGCCCACCAGCTGTACAGAAGCAACACCTACAGCAGAACAGCCACTCACACAATATTAGCCGTGAATATAGAAAGCAGGGTCCTTTCATCATTGCAACATCACGAACTTCAAACCTCCTTTGGGTTATATAAACACACATAGCTCTGGATTTTTAAGCCAACAAATGAGATGAGGCACAAGATAATAGTCAAATCTCACAAACCTGACTCTTACTTTCATCGTTCATTCTAAAAAATATCTGTTACTGTCTTCTTTATGCTTAATGGAGATTTGGTAAACAAAAGCAGTTTGATAGGCTGCATGAGCAGAATCACTTAAATACAACAGCCGCTAATTAAATGAAAAACTTGTGAAAGTGGGGCTTCACGCGATGTAGGAAGGAAGTGTGAAAGATGTGTACGTTTGCTTGTGAGCTAACAGGCAGGTTGTGGTTTGGCAGCAGTTCCAGCTGGCATTTTACCCCAGTTTCTAACAATCTGCAGTTTCTAAAAAAAAATAGTCATTTGAGGGTTTTGGTAAAGCAGAAAAAAGGACAAAACAAGCTAGATTTATCCAGGCTTATTTTATTGTAACGTTCTAATTCTATAAATCAGTGCTGCACATAAAACACACCGACTTTACTGCTTTCCTTGTAGCACATCCTCAATAAGCTCGGGTAACAACGCGCTCGAACTCGTAACACTATTGAGATGCAAAGTGTAAGAATATATAATTGAACCATTTTCACACATAATGCACATTTGCAGTTGAGTGAAGCATAGACAGGACAAGCAGCGTTCGCAGATGAAGCGTGAAGTTCAAGCTCTTCTGTTCTCTACAATTACACCAAATGCCATTTCCTTTTTAGGAACCATCACTAATGAACTGACGGCAGAAATGACACATTGGCTGATGCATCAGTTTGGTCTATTTAATGGCACTTACAGGATGTTTTGTAAGCAATTAGAATAAGTAGGATTCATGACTGCTCCCCCATCTTGGAAACACACCCATTGACTCGAACGGTGGCTACTGGTTGCTTTTACACTTTGCAGATGTTACGTGATGCCTTTGAATCCAGTAGAAATAAGGGGTCATTCTCAGGCAAATATTCAGAATTTAATTTTTAAATTTTCTGAATAACAAGAAAATTACATCGATAATCTGTTATTGCTAGCCTTAATTAGCATGTCGTTTACAGTATGAGATTGTTGGGGTTTTTCATTGCTGATGGGTCGTGGTGCACTCATGGACTGAAAGGAAAAACTCCAACTACATGATTTCTCAACATAAGACAATCTTAGTTCAAAACTGTGGCAGTAAAAGAGGTGGTCGATATGCCTTCCTAAAAAAAATCCAAGGCCTTTAACTAGCATTTTAGTGCAGCAGGGACTCACACAGCTAAATATACAAATAAAGCTAGAGCACAAGGCTGTTTAAAAGTACATTAAGCAGTTTTGATTGCTTTTAGCACCCCCTAATGTCCATTATTAATAATCTATGGTCAAAGCAAAAGTGAAACTTATCTCCTAGCTGTGCGTTTGTTTTTTTTAACATCTTACACTAACTTCTGAAATGTCTTCCCAGCCTTCATTCGTGTCTAGAAGAGTGACTCATCACAAAAGTAATAGAAAACATGCAGGAAACATGATGGAAGCAGATTGCCAAGCCAGGTAAGTCCACAGGTGGTGGTCCGCCAGTCTGAAGTTGCAAGTGCAGTATTCTGGCCACAGAGGGCAGCAGGGCTCTGAGTGACATTTCATCAACCCCGAAAAGGGTCATTTTAGCACATACTGGCTCAAGAAAATGATTTAAAAATATGACAAAGGTGCATAGTATCCCTTTAATACATCCCATTCTTTAAGATCAACTCCTCTCAGCATCAGTTCTGCTTCTCTACCAAACAGATATGTTGGGCCAGGGACCCTGAGCCCTCTTCGTGTCTTGACCTTGGTTCCAAAAGGCTGATTGAAATCGACTGTCAGCACCAAGCTAGTTAATTATTCATTCACTCTGGGCTGACTTTGTTTCAATCTATTTTAGTGCACACACACAATCTTAATGTCCATAACTGGTGAGTTTGCAAGGCTGTTCTCGAACCGTGCTTTCGTCTCATGCACTTACTGGATGCAGAGTTTGTCATTCAAACTTAACCAGGATGTGAATAAATCCTCAAAATCCTCTTTAGAAACATCTGTTTGGTTTGAGAATGTGCTAATAACTCACTGAGTTACAAGCAAACTTGTTCAAGTCACAGTAGTGAATATTTCACAAACCACACTGCAGTGATTCAGATTTGCATTTTCGCCAAGAAATGTAAATCAGCCCGCAGAAACCCGTGATAGCTTCATCAGACGCTGCTAGATCTGCATAACAGAGATAAACATGGGTACTGCTGTTGTTTTAGACGTAGAATCAGACATCACAAAACAACTAATGTAGAGTACCGAGGATGCATGCTTCTGGTTTACTGTCCATCTGAGCCCAGTGGAAACATTTATGAGCAGAAAATCACCTTCTACAACGTGCACACCAAACATAAAATAAGGCACATCCATCCTGACTTAAAGGGGACTGTTTGAGGGATATCGTTATAAAAAATAAAATAACTCTAAAAACCAAAATCTAAATTAAGAAGCTTTACAGACTAAAAGTGCTGCTGATAAGGAGCACTTTATTCTCGACTTGGTCATATAGCACGCCACATCTTTAGAGCTCTTCTTTCCTTCCGTGGTGTCATAACATATCAGATTGGGTAACTTCCTGGACGGAACTCCTCAAAACCACCTCTCCTTTTTCAGAAAATGACTCCTTATTCCTCACCAATACCCCAAGCTTCTTTTTTATTTGGAGTGCATGACCGCAACACAAGATTATGTTGGAAAATCAACATAATCCAACACAACACAAACAGAGAAGATGAGAGTTAAATATATCACTTTACCAGAATAAGAATGGAGAAAAGACTTGATGCAAGCAAAATGTCAACATGTCTTTTTGCAGAAATGAATGTAAACACGCCATTAGGACAGAACCCATAAACAACACTCAAACAGCACTAAGAGGATGTAATTAGGTCTTTCAGACATCCAGCTGTGTTCACAACTTTGTTCAAGTCACCAAAACGACTCTAAACAACACTTAGTTCAAGCCTATAGGAAATTACAATGACAAAAATAAATCGAAAATGCTATTACTTCTGCTTCACAGTACTGTTTATAAAACACATGAGATTTTCTGTCAATGCTCCAATCAGAGGCTGAAGTCTGAGTCACGTAGATTGTTTCGCATGCTGACAGGAAAAACTGTAGCCTAGCAACGCTCCATTGATGGCTCTCGGTTGTGGGGCGGGTTCTAACGTTGTCTTTCAGATGATCTCTGCATGCTACTGGACAATGAACAAAGTGACATACTCTCCACAACGGCTGTCGGTAATTGAGGCGGTCAGCTGTTGAAGAAGGCAAAAATACATCCTTTTTTCTAAAAAAAAAAAAAAAAACTGAAATACATCTTTCTGCTCCTGATTCTTATAAAGCCCAAGTCTAAATAGTCCAAAATTGATATAAAAGTAATTTCAAACGAGCTGTTGCCATCTTGTTCCACTATGTTGCATCATCCCACCCACCAGACGAATAGAGGGCCCTGATTGGCCCACAAAGCAGATAAAGCACTGTGATCAGTTCGCAAAGCAGATTGAGCGCTATGATTGGCCCACCATTATGGACCAATCACAGCTCTCTGTGTTTGAAACCCCTCTAAAGAGCTGTGATTGGCCAGCCAGAACACTGCTGGGGCTGCAGAGGCTCCAATGGAGCGTTCCTAGACCAAACTTTGCACAGCAAGAATTTGGTCATTAGGGCCAATAATGGGGTAGGACTTAAAACCTGTGAACTACTACTACTAAACTAATAGAGACCAGGCTAAACTGGCAAAAAAATAAACTCAGTTGCCACTTTTCTTCACTGTTGCCCCACCTAGGTTTGCAACTTCTTCCAATAACTGAACTGGGCTTGAACTAGTTGGGGGCAGCAGTAGCTCAGGTGGTAGAGCGGGTTGCCTCATGATCGAAGTCATGGGCTCAATTAACGCTCTCGCCAGGTGTATTCTGCTGTTGTGTCTTTGGGCAAGACACTTCACCCAACTTCCCTGTGTTTGTGGTGGTCAGAGGGGTCGATGGCGTCAAATGGTAGCCTCGCCTCTGTCAGACCGCCCCAGGGCGGCTGTGGCTTCAAGTAGCTTACCATCACTAGCAGTGTGTGAATGTGAGTGTATGAAAGCATCTTTGAGTGTCCTAAAACGTGCTATATAAGTTCGATGTATTATTATTATTATTTTTAATATTAAGCCATGCTTAACATAGCAAAAAAGCGATGACAAAAAAATAAATAAAAATAGTATATATATATATTTTTTTTTTGTGTGTGTGTGTGTATATATACTATCTCTCAGGTGCTACTTTTTGCTTTGATCAATAATCATTTTGTTCACCGTTTACTATGCTTTTGCCGTTCTTCATAGTAGACCCATGTGATTTGGTGACGTAGGTGCTAAGGGTCACCTGTTTACATCTGGGTAACGGCGCATATCCATGCAACGCTGGACGGCAAAAACTTCATCTTCAGCCATTATCTGGATCTGCATCTCCATGGTTTAAGATAACAAAATAAAACCTAGCAATTAAGATATTATTACTTTAGATCATCTAACACATCTATGTGCAGATGATTAAAACAAATAACATCTCAAAGTTAACGGGGTTTAGCGCAAAGTTACCAGATCTGTTTGAAATAGCTAATGAGCTGTGGAGGATGACAGTCCTCAGAAATGGTTGCCTGGACTTCACACAGCTGACGCAACGAAGAAGTAACAGTATGTCTTCTGTGTTGTGTGGGTTAATGTTTAAGGATCGCCATGACAGTTCGTCTTTGGAGATGAACAGATTCTGTTTCTTCCGACGAGCACGCTAACCCGAAACACAAACGAACGACAAAGGCTGCCCATTCCAATTATACAATGCATTCTGTATAATTATTGTAACAAGACAGTTAACAAGGGTCACACACAGAACCACACACTACACTGGAATTTTATCTGTTTCACACGTGTTTATTTCTCAGTAGAACTGATCTGCGGCACAGTTCTCCTCACTGCTGCCTCCGCTCATTCAGTGCTTCTCCCCTGGCTACTCGTGCCCCACAGCCACGCATAATTATTTAAAAATAAAAATAAAAAGTATGACAATACCTTGTTTGTCTCTGGACATTTGTGGCATATACTTTACTTTATTCTGCCATGAGATTTTGGCTTCCATGATGTGGGTGGTTTATCCAGTAGAACTCTCTTTATGGCCATAAACTCTTGTCCTCTCCAACAGCTTTGTAATAAGATTCAACTTTATGACTGAATTTAATGAATTCTTCTTCAAACCAGCAGTTCACCAGAGCTACATTACCTACTACTAGCAGGTAAATGATCACAACAACTCAGATAACCCACCAAGAGGGTCTGAAACAGCATCCCTGAGCAGCTCAGACACACGTCATGTATCAACGCTCGCTCCTGCCACATGCATCAGGACGCATTAGCACGGTGAACCAGTGATGATCGCTAATGCTCGGCAGCCCCGCTTCAGTAACTGAAGTCAATGTGAGCCCTTAATGGGTCAAAGACATTTAGAAAGCAGGTATTGGTAATCTGATCCGACTGACTCAATGCTCAAACTGAATATTGTTCATTCTAAAAGCACCCAGTGCCTCCAAGTATCTGCAGAGAAATCATACAACACACTGCATATTTATACTCAACATACATCAGCCTTGCCATTATTTTATGATGAGAAAATATCCAACACTAGTTAAAACAGATGCTTGCAATTTAATGTTTGGGTAAAACAGATTATGTCTTACAAAAGGTTTGCTTTTATCCACCATATCGGTTTCTTTGAGTTACATTTCACCAAAAAGTGCAGCAAAACACATTGATCCCGTAGCTGCAGACAGCAGTCTGAGAAGCTCTTATCCTCAGCTAAGATAAGGAAGGCATCACAATGGAAGCACTGAGTCAGGGTTTCAGGAATTTTCCAACCTGATATAAGAATTGTGGTTAATTTTACCATGTAAATTATTACCAAATGTGCAAAAAATAATAACCCTATTTAAAAATAATGAAGTTGGGCTCTTACTTTCCCCTCCAGGAGTGTTTGGTGGTGTAGAAGCAGGCCAGGTCTTTGTTGTCTTTGACGACATTCATCTTCTCCCTGGACCTAAAGCACAGAATCAGATTTTTAAATAGGGATTATCGGTAACACCTTTGTTAAAGGAGAGTACTATATCATTAGTTACCACAAGAAGCATGCAACCAGATTTTTTCAAGTCATTACTAGATGATTTTTTTATCGTATACATTCTAACGCATGGTGGCACACACTTCACATGGTCATTCTACATTTTTCTGCTCTGAGGGAGAGTTTCCCATCCAAATACTAAGCCACAAAACTCTGTACACAATTATAGTCAAAGACATTTTCTACTTTTAGGACGAAAAATTGGCACGACCTGTCTAAATAGAAACAATCAAAAATAAAACAGTACAACAGTCAACCTGATGAGCGTGTGTCAATCAAGACACTGGTTAAGTATCAGCTCTAGATAATATGTTTGACAATGTCTTGGTTGTTTGTTTGGGTTTCTAATTTTAGTTTAAAAATAAACAACAACATGCCACAGTCCAGCGGCAATGCAGCTTGGGACAAATCGATCCGGCAAACAAACAAACTAGGCCTCTAAAGGGATAATTCAGGTAATCTGAAACAGGTTTCTGATGGAAAAACTGTTTGAAGGCTAGCTAAAATGGGACCAGCTCTAAAGTGGATTGGTGGTGCCGTAGGCCCGGTTCACACTGCATGTAAATTATGCTGATTTTTGCCCCAATCCTTAAGGATGCACACAAGTGCCTACAGGGATGTCCCGACTCCCGATACAATTATATCCACTTCTGATATGATACCGATATTGCTGCCTTCAGTACTGACCGATCCCAATATCAATCCGATACAGTATCAGCACAAATTTCGTAGTGTGGAATTTATGAAAGGCTTCATCAAGTGATATTACTCAATAGGAGAACAAGTGCCAGCAACAGTAAGCATGAAAAAAAAATCTTTGGTTGCAAAATTGTGAACCTTAAAAAAATGCTTGTATCGGAGATTTTTGATGCAGTCCAATATAATCCAATGCAGTGTTTTTGGGCCAATATCAAATTACTTCCAATATCGATATCGAAACGGGACATCCCTACAACTGCCATAATGACTAAAGATGATTCGGGCTATCAAAAGTGTTGGATTGTCTTGGTCAGATTTTGGGGGACTAGGACGATAATTCAATAGTTCAATATATTTATCGATAGACATGTGGTGCGATAGAAAAAAAAGAGTAGATAAAGCTTCAATAAAAAAAGTTTCCTTTTTTCAAAATAACCTATCAGGTAGCAGCATACTAGACTCACTCCTAGCCAATCAAAACCACAGACTTGGGCACGCTATGTCACCAGGCCCTCCCCTCTCAAACCAAAACAGAGCATGAGGCAGCAAGATGTTGCAGCGAGAAGAGGTGGAGAAAAAAATGAAAATACCAAAAATAAAAAATGGCAAGGGCTGCACGTAAAATATATTTTATATAATTTTTACAATATTTTTTAATAATTGTCGAAATTGATCAAAATTTCAAATAAATTTGTCGATATACTATTTTTCTATATTATCCAGCCCTACGGGGGACAATCAAACGTGCTGCCTGTTGAATGTGACGTGTAGCCAATCAGAAAGCAAGGTGACGGAAGCATGCAGCACGCTCCTTCTCTGCCATGTTTGTTTACTGTGAAGTCCTGTTTGATCTTGCACGATTTGTACTAGTTTATAAAACTTTACTCTACTTTCTTATTTATAAAGTATCAAGCTAGTTATCATTTTCAATTCTGGTTAGAAAATAATTTTTATGCTGGAATGATTGTAGAAAAAAAGACAGCAATATAGCACTGAGGTTAAAATGTTTTAATACACAATATATTTTAATTAATTTCCAGGTCCAAAGTGACTGCTCTTTACTCTTTGTTCCTCCAAACTGAGGCTCTTCAAAGAGCTGTTGACAAGATGTAACATTACTTATTCATAACCTTTGAACAGAAACCCAGTATAAACATTCTGAACCATTTCTTTAATGTAATACGCTTAAATTGAAGGAATGGTGGGAAATAACTGTCACTTCTATTTGACATCTAGTATTTTGCTGGCAGCTGCATAGTGACATGGGGAACCTGTGTGTCAGCATTTAGAGCCAGGATCCTGGAAAAATCCAACAGCGGTTTTCCTTCCTCTCCATACCAGTGTGCAAACGAAGCAATAAATTGCAGCATGACAATCGTCTTTTATTCACCTTTTTAAACATACCAAGGTGTATCGGGTACTTAAAAAAACACATTTGCAACAGAGCCTTTAAAAATTATACATGTTTTAAAATGTTTAAAAAAAGGGAGTCTTTATTAAAAATAAAGCTTTCAACAACAACATGCAATGCAATTCAGTAAGGTAGGGACTGTGACTCAATGCTTTTGAAGCAACAGCTGAAAAAGTGTTATTACTGCAACCAAATAGCCTTGATGACTTTGAAAAAACAATCCAAGTTAGATACCAGGATTACCACGTGACTACCCTTTCTATATATTTCCCCCTGAATTCAAAGTATTCTTGCAAAATCATAAAAAATTGACAAACCATGCTACAGAAGAGAGAACATTTTAAAGTATTAAATGTGGATAAATGTGATTAGAATCCCAGACTAGTTACTAAAATTGTATAATCATACAAATGTAAACTAATGAGAAAGCATCTAAACATTGTTAAAAAACAATTAAAGATAACTGGAAACTCCTTCAGCTTTAGTGTGGGGGCAAGGATCAGACTATCATGTGCTTTTGCATCAGTATAAGGCCCTAAAATGTATTTATATGTCCAGTGAACACATTTACACTCATGATACCTGGGTTGGTGTAAAGGTACAACAAACACACAAAACAAGCACCTGTGGGAGTGAATTAAAGCTGCCGGAATCGTACAAAATTAAAATTACAAAACATAACATTAATTCCTATATGTGGAAAAGCAGCCACTAAGTTATTTTACTCATTGTCGATTACATACAGCAACCATTCACCCACACAGGAACCCTACTTTCATCAGTCTAGATTTCGTGAACACTACAGCCGACAACAAGCAGTTCACACAACAAGCTACAAATTCAAATCGTGGTGAGAATAAAAACGTAACCCATGTGTGGACGCGCGCTGTCAAGTAAATCCAGCATGAACGTTACCTGGCAAACAGGAGGCTAGCCCAGTTCTGTTTCATTGCAGCAGGCCTTAACGGTGAACAGGCTAGCTAAAAACCAACACAAGCGCTCTCTTTTGTGATGTCGACACTTAAGCGCGACCTCACTACAACTACAGTGACACTCCAAACGCCTTTGTTATCAGCGTTTGTTTGCTAAATGCTATTTTAAGAGGCTGTGGCAGGCCAATACTGGGTTAGCCACAAATTAGCGGCTAACTAGCACATCAATTAGGTATTAGCATAAGAGTTCAATCAAGCAAACACGAAGAAGACAAAAAGTGGCACGTGCTATTTACCTGTGAAATCGCTAATGGGTGGTAATCGTGGTCGACCCTCAGCCCCCCCACCGTGCTCTAGGCTCGGCCAGCGCTTCGGTTCCTCCGTCTCCCCCCCTCTACGGGACTCAGGACGCTGCCATATTCCCGATACCAAAAGCGCTCTACTGAGCAACCGCAAGGCCTGCCTGTCATGCGGCTGTCAGCTGATTGGTTTGTATGGAGGTGGGATTACACCGAGAGCTGACCCGAGATCAGTATTCGTTTTGTTACTTCCTGTGTTTGAATGGGCGGTTACTGTCAAATCTGATCCAAGAACAGCTCAATCGTAATGTTGGGGATTTACGTCTTATCTTTGGGACCTGGTTCATTTGGCTCAGTTCAGATAAAAGACGGTTCTTTTGGCCTCAGCTCTTTAACCCTTTCTGCTCTTAAGTTTCAAGCACTAATATTTAGTTAATATTTGTAAATAAACCCATATTTATGAGGCTTATATTGTTTAAAAAATGACTGAAAGAGACCGCATTGGGTGGGACCTTTTATCCTAACTTACGATCCAAAATATGTTAATTTGGTTCTTTGCACAAAATCCCTCTAACATAAAGTCATTTCAGTAGTTTTATTTTTGACAGTTCCAGTACCTTCCAAAATTTCTCTGTCACTTTGAGAAAACCAGATAAAGCTGGCCACGCCCACTCAAATCCCTACTCAGGATGTTATAAGCTGAGAAGCTCCTATATCTGGGATGGGCTTGGAGTAGAGCCGCTGCTTCTTCAGCAGCAGCTCCCTCTTGCATAAGAGGTAGTTCTAGTCTACTGTCCCAGTTTGTTAAGTCACAAATGGGGACTTTTTAAAATGATTTGTTTCAGGCTCCTTTTTCCTTAAACCAAACACTGACAGAAAACAGATTATTTTCATGTTTTGAAGTGTTTATAGAGGATGTAGAGACCCACATGGCAGCACAAAGAATGCAAAAGCAGAAGTTTGCATAATATAAATGATAAATGACCTACACTGTTATAGAGCATTTGTGAGTCAGAGGACTCCAAAGTACTTTACACAACAGAGCATCATTAATTCAATTCAAATTCAATTCAAAAATACTTTATTAATCCCAGAGGGAAATTGATTGTTGTAGTAGCTCAGAATAATAATAATAATCAAGTCATCAAAGAGTTATTGTACATTACAATGGCTGTTGGCAGGAAGGATCTCCAGTAGCGGTCAGTGTTGCAGCCAAACTGAAGAAGCCTCTGACTGAAGACACTCTTCCGTTGTCGGACAGTCTTGTGAAGAGAATGCTCAGGGTTGTCCATAATTTTCTTGATTCTCTGGAGAATCCTTCTTTGCATTATCTCCTCCAGTGGTTCCGAAACTGCTGAAACTCTGGCTGAGTCCTTGAAAGGGCTTGGAGTTCCTCCATCTTGTTGGCCAGTGATCTCACATTGCCCGTTATGATCGATGGAAGAGATGGTTTGAATTTCCTCTTTCTCTGTCTCCGTTTTGCTCCCGCTCTGCACCCACGCTTCTTGCGTTTTAGCTCATTTGGGATTTGTGGCTTCAGTTGAGGTATTATTTCAGCCTTTCCCATGTTAATCAGCTGTTCCTGATTGTAAACCAGACTGTTGCCATGGTTACGCATCATAACAAATGCTCAAAAAGTGAAAAAAGCTTTAAAAAAAGCAGTAAAAATCCTCCAAGCTTCACAGCACCAGAAACAGAAAAGTAAAGTGTCCGGAAAAAATACAGTTTTTCTTAAGAAACTAGAAGAAAAAATGCCAAAGAAAAGGCAAAACGTCCATATAGTCAACAGCTTCTCCAACATGCAGCCGCCCAGAGCAGCGCAATTCCGGAAGAATCCATTCACGCACACATTTACACCCTAGTGGTGATGAGCTTGATGGCCACATCTGCCCTGGGTCACGCTGACAGAGGCAAGGCTTTCCAAGCTGAGACACCACCAGTCCTTCTAACCACCACCAGCAGGCAAGGCGGGTTAATTGTCTTGCCCAAGGACACAACAGCAGTATTCTCTGGCAGAACAGAGATTGGCCCTGCAAACCTCTGATTACTGGACAACCCACTCTACCTCCTGAGCTACTGCTGCCCAACAATATGTCCCCTTTAGTAAAATAAACATATGTTTTATTTTATGATAAAGTAAATATGATAATACACAAACAACACCACTGTTTTTAGATCAAAGCTGGTTTAATAATAAGAAACATATATTTTTGGGGTTTAGTTTGAGCCAAATCAAATAAATTACAAATTAAGGAAACAAATAAACAGTAACATTTATTTATTGTTATGGAATTGAAAATACACCATATTTTGTCAATATTAACCTAACTGTGGCAGTCACTTAGCTAAAATGAGAATGAAAGACCCAACCAGGCCTGTAAAGGGTTTAATAATGTATTGCATTTCCTCCCCAATTTTTGTATCCAATTTTGTAAAACACAAAACACAACATTCATGCTATAAAAATGCGTGTCTAATAAGATTAAAATTCTGACCACATGCACCATTTCATGTGGGCAGATGTATGAACAACCTTAAGCCAAATTGTCAGATACAAATTATTCATTGCCCATGAACACATTCCTTCCTTTTCACACAGCTGATTGGGACACTAGAGGAAATAGAATATTTTTCACTTTGGAACAAATATCAAAACTGGTTTCTTGAAAATAACCTGTATTAACCAATTCCATCATGCCCTCTTCCCAAATGTCCTATTGGTGTTTTAATTGAAATGTAACAATCACATTCTAAGATAAAGTTCATAAAGTTCACCTATATATGCAGCAGTAATTTTAGTTGCAACTTTTCCAAATATAGATTTAAATGATGGCATTGAGCCTTTTTCTCAAAATGTAAATGACTTACCGCGACTGAAGGTAAAGAGGAAACATCTTGGCCCCTGTTACTCACTAATGTTGTACACTAAACTTGAGTGGAAGAGCTCAAAATGGTCATAAGGCATTTGTCTGATTGGGTGACAAACCATGCGCTGCCTGTTAGTCTAATTTGATTACAGCTAGAGAGAAATGTGGAAAAGAAAACTTTCCATTTACCCCCCCCCCCCCCTAGGGTTTCTCCTAACAAGATAGAGAAGGAAGTTCCTTAGGTTTCAGCAAGGATGAAAAGATTTTTCAAGGTTTGATCAGGTTCACATGATTTCAATTGAATTTTTGCAGGAAAGACTCTAAACAGACCTTGAATGGGATCATAAATGTTAAAATTGGGCTAATGATTTGCAGAAATTGTTCTCCATGAGCTGTCACTGGCATTATCTGCCAATAGTTGTTATCACAGCATATGAAAGTTTTCAAACGTGCCCTATGAATAACGAGCTTTGTAGCTCCAATTTTTCTGGTTCTATACTGCCTTCCTCTGGTCAGTGCTACTCTGTGCAGCAGTGTTATAACAACCTGTTGTCAAACGTGTTTTAACTTTGGAAATAAAAAAATAAATGAAAAAATATAAAAAATAAATAAATTAATTAATTAATTAATTCGAACAGAAGAAATATGTGATTTCTGAAAAACTAAAATGAACTAAGGGAGAAAAACTATTGAAAAGTTGAATTTTTTTCTTTGTAATAAAACAATTCAACAAACCTCCCATAAAAAAAATATCGGAGGTTTTGACATACAATGTTTCAGAACACATTTGCATTTACGATTTAAGAACACGGCATGAGGCAGAATTAGAAAATATCGATCTTTAATACAACAAACATGACTTTATTGTGGAAATCATTGTTTGCACCCAGGAAAACAGAAAGCGTAGTGAATAAGACAATAAAACAACCAGATCTGGTTGAAATTAGCACATTTTTATGAGACATTTAATGCTCGAAAAACAAATCATACGATTGTTTTAGCTGGAAAAGCTGCACATTTGACAAAGGATAACTTAAAGCTTCATTTTATGATTAAATGCCGGTATAAACGTATTGCAAACGTAGCCATCACGAATATCTAACATTTTCGATGCAGAATTTCCGTTTTTAGTCATTTCTACATTTTTCACGTGATTTACGTAGCGCCTTTGAATGCACCTCTCGTAACCAAGGCAATGACGCTGTGTTCCGTTACCAAGGCATTCTCAAGGCAAACTTAGCTAAAAAGCTAAGCTAACAGATCTGCAAGATAATCTTATAGCTATGATATAGCGACAATTTAGCATCTTTAACGAGCTGAAAATACACAGAAAAGGGTTTCCTACATCCCGAGTCAACATATTTTGTCTAAAGCTTTTAGTTTGTTCCTAGAGTTGTCTAAATTAGAGTCAGAAAACCAATATTTCCTTTGGAAAAGCTCGGTCTACAAGCTACACAGCCATCATGGTAATTAGCTACTGCCGGGCATCGCGGTGTTGGCTACCTGATTTGCTTGTAGATGTCAAAATGCTGTTATGTTATGTTATGTTATGTTCCCTTTGAGCTAAAGTTAGCGAGCACTTCCATCCGTGCCAGCTCTCTTGATAAGGCCTTGTGGCATCTCGGCAAGAGAAAATCCTCTTCAAGTTAGCTGATAAGCTAACTGTGGCTACTATTACATCGATTGTTTTGGTGTATCTTCTATTTCTGAAACATTTTTTATGGGTCCAAATGTTTTTCTTGTCTCCATGCAGGCTGACTTTGGATTCAATGAACATCACCAGAATGAAATTATTAATTACATGCGATTTGCCCGTTCAAAGAGGGTCCTTAGGCTCAAGACTATTGACTCATGTTTTGAGGAACTCAAAGATAGCAGGTGAGTGATGATCACTTTTTCTGTCATTGTGTAAACGTCCTTTAATCTGATTTTGTGTAACTTTTTCTGTCATTGTGTAAACGTCCTTTAATCTGATTTTGTGTAAATAGAAATAAGATGTGATGCCTTTTCAGTTATTAGCATTTCTTAATGCGTCTGAAGGTTGGTGGAAGAGACATTCACAGTGGATGAGGTTAGAGAGATGATGGACGGGCTGCAGATGGTGGTGCGTGGAGAGGTGGAGATGGAGCTCATCAACACAGCCCACACTAACGTGCTGTTGCTCAGGCAGCTTTTCTCCCAGGCTGAGAAGTTTTACCTCCGACTCCAGAGTGACATCTCAGAACTGGAGAACAGGTTTGGGAATCGGAAGTTTAATAGTCATCCTAAAGTATAAGATTTTACTTTTCTTAATGCATCATATTAAACCAACAAGTCTGAAAAGGCGATAATTGTTCTTTTTTTCAATGAAACTGTATCTAGTGGCTTTTTTGTATTTCTCATACTAGCTGTACTTATTTTCTGAAATAATTCAGTCTAATGCAAGAAAAAAATACTATAATGCAAGAACTCTTTATGTTTACAAGAACAAAAAAGCTGCCCCACTTTGTACCATACTGTATTTGACTTCCTCTTTAGATTCAGATCTCCAACATGCCATTTGCCAGGTAGAAAGGTCACTCATCCACCTGTGTTTAACTCAAGTTTCCATTGCACTAACACTTCTTCCATTACACTTATACAACAGGACTTTTTTAGATTAGATTGTGTAATAACCACAAGCTGTCACAATTCCCGTGCTTTAGGTTACAATAGAAACATGTTATCTTTTAGTTCATGCAGACTCCTGCTGTGATTTCTAATTTTATTGTTTTGGGGTGTTGAGGTAAAATCTTCAGACTTTTGGTAGAATGCTTTTAGTTTTTCTTAAATTACTTTTTTTTCTATAAGATTTATTAGCATGTTGTGATAAAAAAAAAACTAAAAGCCAGGATTGTGCGAATAAAAGGCTCTCAAAGAATCTTTAGTGATCCGTTATTAGAAATAAATCTTATTACAACAAATCTGTTTATAAAAGCTTTCCAGCAAATTAAAATTATAGTTTCATTTGTGAATTTCTATAGATACTCATGCGAGTAGGTGAACATCTTCACCCGGTGGCTTGAGGCCATTTTTTAGCAAAGCAAATAGTTCTGAATGTTGAATAAAATAACACATTTGTAAATTTGGGACTAAATCAAGCTGCGTGTCCATTAAAAAAGAAAAAGCAAAAACTATTAATTTCAGCTTAAAAATACTCAGTTAAATGCTAAAAAAAATTGCTATAACTCATCACATTTTTACAGATACTGAACAAAAATTTCATGATAGCTGAGATTGTAATGTTACAAGATCACACCAAATGTTATTTCTTTTAAAAGATCTGAATTAAAACAACAGTAACTTCCTAATTTCTCATAAGATAATCTTGCAGGCAAAATGCCACGTCTAAATTTAAGTTATTTCTTCAATCTTTACTTATTATTTATAGTTTTTTTGGTAAATTGATTATTTTTATTCGTTATTCCCAAACACGAACGCATTTTTCCCTCAGTCAGCTCATTGAGCAACGTGGAGATGTACATGTGCATCTCCATGGGGCGACGGTGGCACAGGAGTTAAGTGCTCGCCCCGTAATCGGAAGGTTGCAGGTTCGAGCCCCGCTCAGTCTGTCGCTGTCGTTGTGTCCTTGGGCCTGCTGGTGGTGGTCGGATGGACCGGTGGCGTCAGTGCTCGGCAGCCTCGCCTCTGTCAGTGCGTCCCAGGGCAGCTGTGGTTACATCGTAGCTCATCCCCACCAGTGTGTGAATGTGTGTGTGTGAATGGATGAATGACTGATTGTGTTGTAAAGCACCTTGGGGGGTTCCAGGACTCTAGAAGGCGCTATATCAAATACAGGCCATTTACCATTAATCGCTTTTGGATTCTTGGCAAAATCTTGACATTTTTGCAACAACATTTCTTTATATTCGTGCTTCAGGTTTAAAAATATACTCAAGAACACGTAACAGAGAAATAAATAAGACCAAATATTAGATTTGATTAAAAAAGGCCATCTTGATATCCAAACCGCATGCTAGCTTTCTAGAGATTTGAAGAATATATAAAATTATAAATACTTTTCATGTGCATCTTGCACAAAAGGTCATACCCTTTTGTTCTGTTCATAACATCATTTAACTTCTGGCTTCTTGTATTACTGGAAACTTCTTCAGTACAAGTGCCAAAAAAACATTCTCCCCTCATTTCTGAACTCTGTATAACATCTGACCTCCGTCACCCTCCACCTTTTAAAACAGCGCGTTATGAAAAAAGGTACCGGTACTTTGTTTATTTTATGCATGTGGTGGGCAGATAAGCAACCTAAAAGCCCTTTTTCTCTCCTCTCACACAGCTGTACGTGACTGAATAGGTGTCTAAAGCTAAGAATACGCCCTGTGTCACAATCTACGTGTCTTCAGCTGGTTTTTAAAAACCACACACGAGCTTTGCTGGAACACTTCTGCTCACCACAGTCTTGTATCTTATAACAAGAGCCTAACTGCCATCAAGGAAAAGAAAGGGCGTTCACAGTTTCTGTTTTCCAAACATTCATGACCACTGAATTGTAGTTTGCAAAGATAAACATCGACGCTCAGGTCGCAGAAATCACTTATTGATTTATTGTTCAGTTTTACTCACAAAATACACAATATAGTCACTTTTAATGTTTATTTTCTTGTCTGATTGGTTTTTTTTGTTTGTATTTTTTAGGGAATTGTTAGAGCAAGTGGCTGAATTTGAGAAGACGGATTTTAAAACCATCAACAAGGTGCGCTTAACACCCAGCTGTGGTCGGTAATCAAACTACTCTAGCATATCGGCATGCGTGCAGCAACCCTGTTGCATTCTGGGCTGGTTTTTGTGTCGGGCTACCTGGGCTTCATCTGTACAAGTGTGGTTTAGAATTGCACGTCACTGAGGTTAACGTGAGGTTTTATGATACAGTAAGAGAAATAAACAAGGAGTACTCTGCTCAGCTTTCCGTTCTTCATTTCAGTCTCAGATTAACCAGGAAACGATTAAACCCAAGCTGGCGCCGCTTAATGAAGGTGGGGTGTCCGAACTCCTTAATAAGGCAAGTAAAAGCAGGACAGACTGATTAAAACTGTATTAAAATCCTTGAGTAGAATCACTGTTTTTATTGTCTTGTTAGGAAATAACAAGACTACAAGAAGAAAATGACAAACTGAAATCCCGGCTCCGGACGCTGGAGTCCCAGGTATAAAAGTGGACGTATAAATGTATAAACCAGCTGTGTGGTTTCTCAGTTTTGTTTATTTCCTTTGTGGTGTCATTTATCAGGCCACGAGTGCTCTAGAAGAGAAAACAAAGGCAGCGAGAGCTCTGAAAGACCTCCAGAAGGTGCAAGGTGAACAGAAGGTACTGTTCCAAAACACGCCTATGTTCCAGTTCAGTTTAATTCATATTATTTGAACTTCCTTAAAAATTATCTCATTCAAACTTGCTGCTTTTTGCTCCAATCTTCTAACTTTGGCCTAACTGGTATGTATCCACCTGGTTTTACCGTTACTGCCGTAGATTCTGTACCATCGGGTTGTTTCAGCTGAGATTCAGACCCAAGTTTATTTTTTTCTGCCTTTCCAGTTTTCCACTCAATCCCAGGAGATCAACAGCCTCGAGAGCACGGTAGCAGCTCTGAAAGAGGACTATGAAAGATCTCTGAGCGCCAGTGCTGCATCCCAGAAGGATCTTCAGGAGAACCTGATCTCGGCCAAACACGAGCTTCTGCGAGTGCAGGAGCAGCTGGCCTTAGCAGAGAAGGTAAATTAGCTCAACACAATCTGGCTCCTTGGAAATAAATTAGCTGGTCTGCCAGGTTGTTGCAGACTGGATGCAACAGCATGGGTGTCATGAAGTTGTTTGTACATCATGCCAGAGCACACAATAGCCTTCCTCTTTTTACCACAGAAATGAGGGAACTTCAAGCGATCACTCACATCATAAGATCAGACAGCTGACAGTTCTTCGAGAGGTCATTTTGTTTATTCTTTGGGGTTCCCCCTTACATTCTGTGGTTTTGTGTTTTGAATAGTTCACCAAAGTCCACATTTAGAAAGGTTATTTCCTCCCACGGAGCTCACTTTCCTCAAACAATCAGACAAACTTCATCAGTGTTTGTCCTTTGCTAGCCAGAGTCATCATGAAACACACGTACATATGTAATTCCTGCTTAAAGCAGCAATCCAGGGTTTCACCCATTTCAGGAATTCATGAACGAGAGGCGTTGCTTCCAGCTGTAGCCATGGGTTTAGGAAACAGGGCTTATGGTGCAATACATTTTTTGGCTTATAGATAGTGCCTTCTGAGGAAGAAAAACATCTGGATTCCTGCTTTAATGACTAACGTTAAACAAATGACAATATGTCTTATTAACCAGTCAACAAACTAATCATAGTGACTCAGACAGATACAGTGGGGCAAAAGCATATTTAGTCAGCCTCCAAATGTGCAAGTTCTTCCACTTAAAAAGATGAGAGAGGCCTGGTAGTTTCATCACAGGTACTCCTCATGAGAAGACATCCAGAAAATCACATAGTCTGATTTTTAAAGAATTTCTTTGCAAATTATGGTGGAAAATAAACATTTGGTCATTGACGAAACTCCATCTCAATACTTTGTGAAATACCTTTTGTTTGCAATGACAGAGGTCAAATGTTTTCTGTAAGTCTTCATCAGGTTTGCACACACTGTTGCGGGTATTTTGGCCCATTCCTCCATGCAGATGTCTAGAGCCGGGATGTTTTGGGGCTGCCGCTGGGCGACACGGACTTTCAACTCTCTCCAAAGATTTTCAACGGGGTTGAGAGCTGAGACTGGCTAGGCCACTCCAGGGTCTTGAATGCTTCTTACAAAGTCACTCCTTTGTTGCCCAGGCAGTGTGTTTGGGATCATCGACTCAGCCACCCAGCCACATTTCATCTTCACTGCTCTTGCTGATGGAGGGAGGATTTCTCTCAAAATCTAAAGATACATGGCCACATTCATTCTTTTCCTTACACAGACCAGTCATCCTAATCCCTTTGCAGAAAAACAGCCCCAAAACATGATGTTTCCACCCCCATGCTTTTAGGTAGGTATGGTGTTCTTTAGATGCAACTCAGCATTCTTTCTTCTCCAAACACAACAAGTAGAGTTTTTACCAAAATGGTTCTATTTTGGTTTCATCTCACCATATGACTTTCCCCCACTCCTCTACCGAATCATCCAAATGCTTTCCAGCAAACTTCAGACAGGCCTGCACTTGTTGGCTTAAGCAGGTGGACACATCTGGCAGGGGAGGTATGGAGTCCCTCGCGGCGTGGTGTGTTTCTGATCAGAATCAGAAAAGGTTTATTGCCATTGTCAATGAACAAGCAGTTCACAAACTAGGAACTTGTTTCGGTACTAATGTGCCACATATAACATGAATAATAAATTTCAGAAATAGAATAAGTAGAATAAAATATAATAAAACTAGCATAAAACATTCAGCTATAAAAAAAGGCAGGTAGTGGTAACATGGCCGATAACGTGACGTAGTGTCGAGTACAGAAGACGAGCATGGTTGTGTGATTATAAGCTATTTACAAGTCTAACGGCAGATGGAAAGAAGCTGTTCTTATGGCGGGAGGTTCTGGTCTGGATGGACCGTAACCTCCTGCCTGAGGGAAGCGGCTCGAAAAGTCTGTGTCCCGGGTGAGAAGGGTCAGCTGCAATCCGACCTGCACGCCCCCGAGTTCTGGAGACGTACAGGTCCTGGAGAGATGGAAGGCTGCAGCCAATCACCTTCTCAGCGGAGCGCACAATGCGCTGCAGTCTATGTTTGTCCCTCACCGTGGCTCCAGCGTACCACACAGTGATGGAGGAAGTGAGGATGGACTCAATGATGGCCGTGTAAAACTGCACCATCATCTGGGTCGGCAGCTTGGCCTTTTTCAACTGCCGCAGAAAGTACATCCTCTGCTGGGCCTTTTTGATCAGGGAGCTGATGGATGGCTCCCACCTAAGGTCATGTGTGATGGTGGTTCCGAGGAAGCGGACGGAGTCCACAGTGGTGACGGGGGTGTCCGTCAGGACGAGGGGGAGAGATGGGGCTGTGACTTTCCTGAAGTCCACAATCATCTCCACTGTCTTCTGAGCATTGAGCTCCAGGTTGTTGCTTCTGCACCAGTACGCCAGCCGTTCCACCTCCCTCCTGTAGGCGGACTCATCACCGTCAGAGATGAGCCCAACGAGGGTGGTGTCGTCCGCAAACTTGATCAGTTTAACGGAGTCATGGCTCGAGGTGCAGCAGTTTGTGTACAGGGAGAAGAGCAGAGGAGACAGTACACAGCCCTGTGGGGATCCTGTGCTAATTGTCTGAATGGTGGAGACATTCTTCCCCAGCCGCACGCACTGCCTTCGGTTCGTCAGGAAGTCAGTGATCCACCTGCAGGTGGAATTGGGTACGTTAAGCATGGAGAGCTTGTCCTGGAGCAGAGCAGGGAGGATGGTATTGAACGCAGAGCTGAAGTCCACAAACAGGATCCTAGCGTAGGTTCCCGGGGAGTCCAGGTGCTGCAGGATGAAGTGGAGGGCCAGGTTGATGGCGTCGTCTACAGACCTATTAGCTCTGTATGCGAACTGCAGAGGGTCCAGGAGGGGGGAGGTGAAGGACTTGAGATGAGGGAGGACCAGGCGCTCAAAAGACTTCATGACTACAGACGTCAGCGCCAAAGGCCTGTAATCATTCAGTCCAGTGACATGGGGTTTCTTAGGCACAGGAACAATGGTGGACAGCTTAAAGCAGGCTGGAACATGGCAGGACTCCACTACTGATGGTAGCCTTCGTAACTTTGGTCCCAGCTCTCTGCAGGTCATTCACTAGGTCTTCCGTGTAGTTCTGAAATTTTTGCTCACCGTTCGTGATCATTTTGACCCCACAGAGTGAGATCTTGCATGAATCCCCTGATGGAGGGAGATTGTCAGTGGTCTTGTATGTCTTTCACTTTCAGTCTTCCCAGCCTGGTGCAGGTCTATAATTTTGTTTCTGGAGTTGGGCGTGTGGCAGGTGTCTTTTATACTGATGACGAGTTCCAACAGGTGCCCTTAGTATAGGTGACAAGTGCAGAAGCCTCTTACAGAAGAAGTTGCAGGTCTGTGAGAGCCAGAAATAATGCTTGTTTGTAGAAGACCAAATATTTATTTTCCACCATAACTTTCAAAGAAATCTTTTAAAATTCAGACAATGTGATTTTCTGGATTATTTTTCTCATTTTGTCTCTCATAGTTGAGGTATACTTATCATGAAAATCACAGGCCTCTCTCAACTTTTTAAGCGGGAGAACCTGCACAATTGGAGGCTGACTACAGTAAATACTTTATTGCCTGAAAGAACACACGGTGTTCTCATGTTGTAACAGCCACACAGCTAACATTAAATGTCGAGGTTATCTGCTACACTCCCCAGTTATGATATTAACGTTGATACGCTCGGTCCAGTTCTTCACGTTTTTCTTCATGGTTGCGCGTTTTGTGCGCAGGAGTTGGACAAGAAGTTCCAGCAAACTGCAGCGTACCGCAACATGAAGGAGATTCTAAGCAAGAAGAACGAGCAGATCAAAGAAATTAGGAAACGGTTGCAAAAGTGAGTTTTCATCAGTAACAATCAGGAGTGAGTGTGTGTAGCATTAGAAAAATATCCATGCAGGATTACAATCGTATTTCATAGACATGATTGGTCAGACAAAATGCTTTTTGTTTCAGGTATGAGCCTGACGAATGAGTTCTCCACATATCATCAAGTGAGATGGGACCAGATCTGTGTTGTGGACAAGAAACCATCAGTTCCGGTGTTGTGAAGACAACATTTATGTTTGCTTTATCTGGAGTTTTCTGTGCTTATTGGCTTTATGAGCAGAAGCAGGAAGCCTGGCGTCACACAGAACTGGATACAGGACATTTAGCTTTTTTCTGTTTGAACATTGAACTCACCTTCAGTAGCTACCAGATTCCCTCAGTGCTCTATGCAATTACCAGTATTTCCTGTTTAATGGGGCCTTTTCCTTTTGCTGAACTGTGAAGTGTTAATCAGCATTATAAAATTAATCACTGATTTATTTTAGCGACATGTTATCAAAATCTAAACCACCGTAGTCTATTTGGCCGTTTGATGTCACTTTAGCTTTATTCTGCTGACTAAACATTTGGTAATATTTCACATTTAATTTCTATCTGTGATGACTTTGGAAGTCAGAGCGTAAAGTATAATGCATTAATTATTCTATTTTCTTTCTGCTCTTACATGTAGATCTACAGGGCATAGGATATTTTCTGTGTGGAATCTGTGTATTTTTTGTATTGCTGTATATACATGACTTTCATGACAGAAATGCTCTTGTAGAGTGTGGCACATCTACTGTTACACGAGATGTGTTTATTTGGATTGCGTAAAATATGGGGTAATAAAAAGTGTGGCTGAAAATAGTTTTGCTCAGAGTGAATTTCCTCTTGATTGGTGCTAGTACGTAAGAATTAAAACACTCTTGATGCTTATAGTGTGTTTTCATTCTAGAGTATAAAAACATGCATGTGTCTTCGTGTCATCGGGGGGGCGAGAAAGGACCATTTTCCAGGTCATTTCGGGGACCAACCGACCATCTGAACTGTTTGTAGTCGGAAATGGTCTGGTAGAGTCTCTTGGCGGGTCTTGTGGTTAATGCTGATTGGTTGTAACTCAACAAACAGCACTTGTAAAATTGGAAGAGTTGCTGGTGAAGAAGAATGGAAGGGAAATACATGAATCAGCATCAATGATGCTTCAAAATTGTAAAATTTAAACTCCCAATTTCAAAAAATGCCAATTGCTGCATAGTCCCTCCAGCGTATCCTGGGTCTTCACTTAGGTCTTCTCCCGGTTGGATGTGCCCGGAAAACCTCACCAGGGAGGCGTCCAGGAGACATCCTAATCAGATGCCCGAGCCACCTCAACTGGCTCCTCTTGATGTGGAGGAGCAGTGGGTCTACTCCGAGCCCCTCCCGGAAGACCGAAGTTCTCACCCTATCTCTAAGGGAGAGCCCAGCCACTCTGCGGAGAACACTCATTCTTGTATCCAAGATCTTGTTCTTTCGGTCACTACCCAAAGCTTGTGGACATAGGTGAGGGTAGGAATGTAGATCAACCGGTAAATTGAGAGCTTCACCTTCTGACTCAGTTCTCTCTTCACCACGACAGACCGGTACAACGCCCGCATCACTGCAGACGCAGCACCAATCTGCCTGTCGATCTCGTGCTCCAGCTTTCCCTCACTTGTGAACAAGACCCTGAGGTACTTAACTCCTCCACTTGAGGCAGGACCTCATTCCTGAACTGGAGAAGGCATTCTACCCTTTTCCGACTCAAGACCATTGTCTCGGATTTAGAGGAGCTGATTGTCATCCCAGCTGCTTCACACTTGGCTGTGAACCACTCCAACAAAAGCCGGAGATCACGTTCTGATGAAGTCAACGGGACAACATCATTTGCAAAAAACAGAGACCTGATCCTCAGGCCACCAAAACGGATCATCTCAACACCTTGGCTGCACCTAGAAATCCTGTCCAAAAAAGTTATGAACAGAATCGAGTTGTTGGTAATCGAAAAATTTGCTTGAGAGTTTTAAGAGTCGACTGTTTCTAATTCACTGTTAGTTCAATGTTTGCCTCTAGCTTTCTGTATTCGATATTAGAGTACAACCAAACGGTGCTGAGGGTTATGATAAATGGTAAATGGCCTGTATTTGTATAGGGCCCTCTAGGGTTCTCCAACTCCCCATAGTCATTCACCCACACACATACACTCACTTGTGATGATGACATTGTAGCCACAGCTGACGGAGGCTGATGAACACCCGTCCCTCCGATCAACACCAGCAGATAAGGTGGGTTAAGTGTCTTGCCCAAGGACACAACAGCAGCATTCTCTAAAAGCCTCTGATTGTTGGACAAGCTACTGCTGAAATAAATTCTGGATCACTCCTTTACCTAGCGTCCACTCTTTCCTCAAAGCTTCTTGTTTTTGCTGGTTGGTGTCAAATTACAAATACTGGCGCAGCAGTGTATGCAGGCACAGACTTAACAACCCCACGCACTCACATACTTGTCTCTGGAACCAGGAAGTATGGAGGCGGGATTAAGCCGGGCGCACACTGTGCGACTTTTTCACTTTTTTGAGCCAATGTTCCACTCTTGCGAGAATCCACGAGATCGGGGCGAGTTTTGCGCCGAGCGCCGTGTAGTGTACAGGGGGTTACGAGAGGCGATTAACACCACGTGACCATCTACCGATCAGCAATCGTGAGGTCGCACGGACTTCTGGCGTGTTTAATATTTCGCTCGTCCCTCGTGAGGGTATCGCACTGTTGAAGCAGCGCTGCAAGCAGATGCGACCCAAAAAGTATCAGAACCGTTCACGGCGCATGCGCAATCCTGCATCAACACCGCTATTTCCCTAATAACACACGTTGTTCGTTTTTGTTTTTACACGTTTTTTTACTCACAAAGATTGTCAAGAAAGCGTGTTTGTCGTGTTCATGTCAAATTAAACTGATCACAAAACACAGATTTACTTTCTTTATTTCGTTTTCCTCATCCAACCCCCATAAATCCCTGTGTGTCCTCCTGCAGCACTCCTGAAGGACAACAGGCAAAACAAGACAAAAAAGTCTGACGTGTTGAGTAAAAACTACTATTTTTAGCATAGGTTCAACGTGTTGCTACCAGACGTACAGTGTGAGCAGTCAGGTCGCATCCGAGAACTGGGTCGTACAGTGTGAGCACATGACTCGTGAGATCAGCCCTGCAAGGAAGTCGTACAGTTTGAGCTGAAGCCGAGTGCTACAAGTGAAAAAGTCGCACAGTGTATGCCCGGCTTTACAGATTGTAAACAAAAACTACATCCCTCTTGGGCCTTTTTTAAGGAGAATAACTGGCAGCCACTCAGCCAGCTGAGAAGGAAATCTGTTTCAGTGTAACCTTTCCTCCATCATGATTGAAACAGACTGTTTTGTGATTATTTCACAGTAAAATTCTGACTTATTGCACCTCATTGAGCTATAACAGCTCCCTGTAATCTATGTCCTGCAGTGCTCAGATCTCCCACAGGGTGGCGGAAGATTTTGAAAGAATTCAATTGAGCGGAAATTTGAGGAATGTACTAATTCTGTTAGAGGTCTAAGAAACTTAAGATGGGAAATGGGAAATTTTAAATCATCATATCAACAACTTAAAAACACCAAAGCATAAAAAACGCATTTGTAACAAACCCTCCTGCTGCTCTTTGTTCAGAAACTGTTTCAAAATAACTTCTAGTTTTCTCACAGCAGCTGTTTATCTGAGGTTGTGTTCCTGTCTGAACCTCGTCAGTGTGGTTGCCATGGTGGCCCAAATGAGCATCTTCTATTGGTCTTGGTTCTCTTTAAGCATGTTAAAAAAAACATAAGCATCAAAATGTAAACAAATTAGTCTGAGCCGGTGTTAGATTGTCTGCCAGTAGCAGCTTTGGTGTCCTTCATCAGAAATGTCTCGGCTCTTCTTTGAGCTTTAAACAAACCAGAAAGACTTTTTAAACGCTTAAACAATAAAGAGTAAGCTCAATTAGACTTTTTAGATAATTGACGGATTCAACAAGGGGGCGCCATGCTGCAAAAGTACACAGAATTCTCAAATCAGCTGATTGCATCACAACAAGCTGGCCCTAAATCTTCATTCATGCTGCTACTTTACAGATAAAACGTTTTTAAATTCCAACCTATAAAACTTCAAACCTGTATGTAGTTTTATTTTTACAAGCAGAGATGTTGTGACATTTCTTTCTGTAATCTAATACTAAATCTGAGAGGAAATTACGCAAATAGGCCAGAGTATTTCCCTCATTTATGAGCTGTTTTTGTTTCATTAGTTAGCTAGATGAGGTAAAACCAATCGGAGTGAAACTCTCAACCTGCAGATCACGTGCTGTACAGTTTAACATCTCACTTGTTGCATGAGAACAGCTTCACAAAGACAACATGTGAACTGAGACTGCGACAGATTAAAGTACAAAGTGGTCAATAGTCAGGCAGCCGTTGAGCCTGGGTTGTTTTCAGTGAAACTCAGAAAAGCCACAACGCTCTGGCTCAAACTTGTGATAGATTTGCATGATGCTGAGGAGACGCATGCATGATTTACTAGTGAAAAAGACGAGCAAAGAACCAAATTAATGCACAAAACCTCTACAGAAATACATTAGTGGAGTGCGGTAGAATCATGGCGTCTTGTGTTTGTTTGCATGAATTAATATCTGCATGTGTGTGTGCAGCAGGGCAGGTGGCGGGGAGGGGGGCGCTGATGAGAACGTGAGATTGCACGCAACAGCTTAGCAGTTTTTCTCTCTTTGCATGAAATAAATCACAGCGAGAAGGTACAGGAAGTGGTGACAGCCTTCTCTCAGAGCCAAACGCTTTCTCTGGCATTCTGAAAGCTGTGACACTAACAGTACTTTCCCACAATATGGGGCGCCAGTTAATACGTGTGAGCGTATCGTACTCAATCCAGAGCAGCTCTCTGCTCTCAAAGCAGGCATCAAAGGGGTTTTCTCAGTTTCACTTGCAGGACAGAAGCTTGCGTTGTTTGGCTTTTCTTCAGATTCAAAAAGCAGATGTTGTCCTGGTTGCCAGGAGTTTCTGCAAAGTTTTGCAATACTAAGTAACAACCAGGGTGACTTAAAATCAAATGAAAACAAACCAAGAGGAATAACAGAGAGCTACAAGTAAGAGCAAAGGATGCCCTGCACTGTAAAGCCAATTCATCCTTAAGAACTATGGATAGGTTTAACAAACATCACCAAAATCCACTGATTTGTTCATATAAATTTGATTCAAAATCACTTGCTGTTTGCGATTTGATGTTTGTCTTTGTTTCTGGCTCTTTACCCTACTGACAAAATAAAAATGTGGGTTTTATTTTGAAATCTTTTTCTTTAAATGCATCATTGTAAACCAAGAAAGACTTTGGTATAAGGACTGACAAAAGGGGGTGGGGTCTAAACATCTCCGATTAAAGGGCTCCTTCTAGGGTTCTACAACCCCCCAAGGCGCTTTACAGCAAAACCAGTAATTCACTCACTAAAAAGAAATAGAGGAAAATGACCGACGGTATATTCTTAATGCCTGAAATTTCTGTTTGTACCCTGTTTGATCGAGGCAGGCAGCCTTTCTCCCCTCATGCTGGTGACTAATCTAAAGCCTTTCACCCGTTGTCACCTCTGAGAATTGTTCATGGTCTGATGTTCTCACAGCTTCTGTGATCAGTGCTGAGGTTTTCAAAGGAATCTCAGTGTTTTCAAAACCACATTCGGAGCTGAATGAACAATCACTAACGACACATTAAAACCAGAGTTTCTAAATGAGCTGAATTCGAGACAAGATCTGGGATTTTCTTAGGCTTTAGTTCTCTACCAACTCCCACTCCCATGATAAAGAAAAAAGATTCAATTATTCAACATCCTGTTACAGAATTCCAAAGAAGAGGCAGTAA